TTTAATTCTCTATTTAATGATTTAAATAATTTTTAATTTGTTTCTGACTTTAAGAATATTTTGAGCATTTGATAACTTAAGTATCAGTTTTCCAATGATGTAATCCAATTAATAAACTAGTGTCGTATTTTTTTTGTCTGCTTTTGAGGAAAATAATCGATTTGGTTTCGTCTAATTAGCGCAGACTTCGCAGAGGTAATGTGTAAATTGTAATGAATGTTTACATTGTTCTACCTTCAACGCATTAGTGAAAGTAGTGTCATTACTAAAAATAAAAATTACAATAATATTATGAGCAGGTTTATGAAGAATTAGGTTTACGGTCCTGGTCCTTTATTGATTTTTATTAATTCCCTATATGATTATAAAAAAGTTTTCATGTTTTCAAACTTTAATGAATGAAACTGTTGACCGGAACACCGGAAGAAATGTGCGTTTTGTTTTTAATACATTAATAATGTATATTAAACGCCACTTGCGAATGCTTTCATTAAATTAAAATGATTTTTTTTTTTGAGTTAAAATATTCACCGCCCGTTTAAAGTAAGAATATAATTGTAGAAATACAGACCGTTCCAACTGAATTAAAGGCAATTTAATTTAGAAATTAAAAACAATGACAATTGCTCGACCCATTATCCTCGAACGACTTTGAAAATTAAATTTTAGAAATATTATAGTATAATGTAGTCGTCGCAACCCAAATGTGAACGTTCTTTAGTTGTCATAAGATTTTTAACTGAAATTCATTCCTGTAAGTTTGGCTTTAGCCAGTGGTGTTACATAGAGAAGGGATAATATTGAGAACAAAAATATTATATTACTTTTATTAATACTGTTTTGAAATAATCGGTTTTATCTACATTAAATAATAAAAACAATAGAAATATACAATTACAAAAACAGTTTAATATTTCAAAATTAAATTAAGGCATAAAAACTACACAAAGTTTGTAGAGAAGTTATGTATAATTCCGAGGAATATTTACTAGCTGAAGGTTAAAACAGTAGTAGAAGTATTTAGTAATAATTGTTCATATTTTGGGTGGTTTATTTTGTTAATTACTAATTTCTGTTAGATGGATAAACGGAAATAATGTATGGACAAACGATTGTCGTATTTATTTCGAATGAAATGTATTAAGCTTGTTTCTATTATGGAGCAGGTGAATTATTTACTTTGTCCCTTCCAAAAATATATGCTGTAAAAAAAGACATTTGTCGTAAAAACGGACATTTTAAGCTTTCAAAAGTCACACTTTGCTTCAAAAAAGGACTATCCTTAAAAAAAAGCAGGTGGCAACCTTAAGCATAACAGGAGTCATGAAACCCACACAAAGTCATTCTTAGTATCACTCCCGTTGTTCCTGGGGCGTTCTTTCCGGTTCTAGGCTGAAAAGGATGAAACGTCGCCTAATAAGAACTTCGCATTCGAAGATCACATGGTATAAGGTTTCTTTCTCTGCACGTAGTGGGATCATTGTGTAATTCCATCACATGAAGATGTTTCAGCAAGCAGTAACCCGTTAGTAATCCCACAATGGTGGATATCTGAGGCCTTGCGAGTTGTAGTGCATCAGTAGCCATGCGTGGGTTTGATCCACTTAGCATGAGCTTACTGATTCTGTGCCCTCTTATATGTTGCTAGTGAATTTGATGTTTCGTGGTTATCCACCTGTTCACTGCCTGTAGAGTAAAGGTTTTGATTATCCCAAATACAGGTTCGGGTCCTGTGAATGGTAGATCTGTTCCCTCTTTGACGAATTCATCAGCCTTTTCATTTCCTTGGATACCTCTGTGGCCTGGTACCCACGCTAGTTTTACCTTGTTGTGCGTTGCCAGATTATTTAGTGTTCCAAGGCAGTTCCAGACAAGCTTTGACTTGATTCTGTTTGAATCAAGAGCCTTTAAGGTTGCTTGGCTATATGAGAGAATTAAGATGGTTTGTTTTTTGTACTTCCTTCTTAAATTCTCTCGTACACACAATTCGATTGCATGTATTTCAGCCTGAAATACAGTTGTATGTTTTCCCAGTGAGACGATGATGTCGCATTTGAGTTTAACTCCATGTACGCCAGAGCGTTAGTTTTAGATCCATCCGTATATCATAGAGGACCGCTAAGCAAGTATTTATCTATCTCCTTATTTACCTCGTTCCAGTTGACCTGGAAAAGTCTGTTGAAGGTTAGGAGGGGTGCCATGTGATCTGGTCCCATGTTTAATATAGAATCATTTACTTCATATGTTATTCTGGTATGTTTTATATGTCCCAGTGGGTTCCAGTTGTTGGATATTTCCAGTCTGTATGCACTCATTCTGGCTTCCCCCTTTATGACTAGGTTTAGAATGATTTTCATAGAGGCTGTGGGTGTACTTCTCAGTGCTCCTTTGTAGGCATGCCAGCCTCTGAACTCCTGAGAGAGTATTGAGGGGTGTTTCTGGTTTACTTTTGGCCACCAAATAACCGCTCCATAAGTTATCATGGGACCTAACTTTTACTGTCATTTAATAGACCCATTTTCTTCCAATATTGCTATAGCACTCGCTTTTTGAGCCCCATTTAAATGCGTCATTTACTGAAAATTTATGAGCTGTCCAATTTGAATGCGACGAACGACTATGATGCAAAGTCTAAATCACACCATTAAATTTTGACGTTCACATTTCGGTTTCGTCAACTGTATACTCGGTACTCGTAGATAATGTTCTATTAGTTTTTAAAAAAAAATTCACTGACTGATAAAAATCTACTTGAATAATTTGGATTGGCGTCAAGTTTGGGTATACAATTATAATATTCTGGTTTGAACCCATATTTTCTTGTTAATTATTTAAAGGGTTATTTTTGTCTGAAGCAAAGTCAATTGAAGGTGAGTTTATTAGCAATAAATATGACTCTAATTCATCTATAATTACAACTAAGCTAAAATTAAAACAGTATGCTCGATTCACCATAGATACATGTAAAATTGTGTAATAAGTTCGCCAAACTTTTGGCCATTATAGTTAATCCCAAATTTATTATACCACGATATAAAAATTCAATCCTACAGAAGGTTGGGTATCTAAATAAACTTTATAATTTTGAACATTTTAAATAAAATGTTTATATTATCACTTATGAACTAACTGTCTGCAATTAAGTTACTTTTATATGCCTAAATAAGAATTTTTTAATATAATTCTTCATTGTGAACCTGAAAAACCCTCCAAAAAGGACTATAATGTATATGTATACTATAATTTTTCATATCATCTGTAAATATTCATTTACAAATAAGTAATTTCGATAGAAAATAGAGTTTAAAATAAAAACCTCAAATAAATTGAGATTGAGACTATTTTAGATAGAAATTTAATACTATAGTATTACAATTTTTATTTGAGGGTGACTCATCTGCGAATTGCACTGTGGTCGGCCTCAAATAAAAATTGTTATACTATAGATAGAATAAGCATTTACTTTAACTACTGCCTTTATTTTAATCTGTGGTTACAAATTTTCTGGCTTGCACCGAACGCTTGTTCCTTTCAGTTTTGAAGTACATTTCAATGACATATAATCACAATAAGTTTTTTATTATTTCCTGATGATGCAATCTTTGTTTTCCCCAATTTCCATTTTTAGTAGGAATTAGTACTTTTTAGCCTGACAGAGTGACAATTTTTTTTATTAAATTCAAAAAGAAATATAAAATTACATATTGCAAATATAAATAAATTGTTATTTTCTAAATAAATGCAATTGATATAAATTACTTTAAAATATAATAGTTAAAATTAAATTAAACATATAAAACAAATACTCCCCTATATTTTAACACTGTAACAAATTCTTAGATATAACAACTACATATTGTTAATAACACGCAAGTGACTATGCAAGAGTACGTGTCTAAATTTTCTTCCTCTGACTCGCTGATTGCTCAATTTTATTCCTTGACGCAACAGTAAATAAGGAGAAACATTCCTGTTAGTTTGAAGTATCTTGAAAACTCAAAAAATCGCGTTGGTTTGAGGGGTATCCTTTATTCGTGTTACATTTACCGATGAATCTATCAATAAACTCAACTCGCTACTTGAGAGGTGCCTTTTAGATAGAGGGTCACACGTCAAACGACAAATTTACGTTCATATCGCTCTGGTACTTTTCAAGTAGCGAATCGTCAAGTCTAGATAAGCTTTTAAACATAGAGGCTGTGAGGAACAACGCTTGCATTATTTTAACAATTATTGATTATGGTTCACTGTAATAAATCCAGTAAACCAACTTAAGATTTATGCCCCATGATTTGCCGCACACCTTTCTGAAGGTCCAGAGGGATAGTCTGGCCTTGTTCATAGAGTTTGCCAGGTGAGTCGTTTTATCTAGAATTCTCATGTATCACCTCCTCCGTAAAATGAATTGTTTCTATAGCTAGAATGGGATGCCGGACCTTTTCAAGTTCTCCCTTTTTTGTGACAGTAACACATGTTATTCCACCTCCCTATATATAATAAATATATAAATTGTATCCAAATTGATGCTGCATTTATTGCTATCTCGGTTAAATGGGGAATGTTTATCAGGACCATTTCAGAACTGCTATTACATTTTATCAGTTGTTTTTGTTTTTCGAAATAATCGCGAAAATTTAATAGCAGTTCTAAAATGCATGCATGCATGCACCAATCTGGGATACACTCTTAAGATTGTTACGTTTGATTAGTTTTACTTCACATGAAAAAAAAGCGTTATTTTTTAAATTACAAAACTACCACTTAGGGGAATAATAAAATACGAACCAACATGAAACTTTTGTAAATATAAATATATCATACAAAATAAGCGAACAATTTTTGTGGAAGGTAACAAGGGGAGTAGTTGTTTACAAAAAAAATCCCGATGGACGGATGTACATTTCGTAAAGCCGCTACAAACGTAATGAATGGAAAGTAGATTGCATGCGGGTCAGAAATGGTACAATGAAATTAGGGCTTGTTTATTTTTTTAATTCCAGTCGGAAGAGCGAAACGGGGGCGAGTGGAAACCTTCGAGGCGTAGCAAGTCAGAAGGTCCTGCGCGGAATGGCGTTCAAGGGGACGCCGCTGTCCCGACTGGCGATAGGGATTGGGAACGTCGCAGGGAATCCGATCCTGATAAGGAAAACACGATTACGGTAAACATTACCACTAAAACAAGGATACATCTCATCCAGGCGACTATTTTTGATCTTACATTCGCGTATTATAAAATGAGATCATTAATTGGGGATTTAACTCTTGATACAATATACAGGGTGGGCCACGTCGAGCCACGAGTGACGTCTCGGATTTAGTCGCGAAACCATTAACTTTTTTTAAAATATGTTTACATAATCTAAATAATAGTATAGAGTACTAAATAAGCGTTGCATATTAAAGTTACAATTGTTTATGCGGAAAACACTATACTCGTGGTTCAGATTTGATTTATCAACTGCTGGCTTATGAAATCTCTGTATAGGAAAATTAAATACTGGTCACTCTGTATTTTTTAATTGTCATCAAAAAAATAGCTCAATATTAAGCATTAATGTCTCCAGATATTGTTCTGCATCTAACATCCGCCACATCCAAAAACTGAGCGCGGTATACGAGTGATAATTACGCCATCCTGGCAAGCTAATCAAAATTCCTTTGGCTCAGATTTCAGGCCAGCTGATCGAAGAAAAGAGAAAGTTGATTCGCGAGACAGGTCGATGTTCCTGAAAAACAGTTTGGAGTTTTCTGACATGATCTTCCAATAGCAGCTGTCCTTAGTAGACGTTTTATCCCGATACCAGTTGTTTCATGATTTAGGACAAGCTGCAGTAGTGGATCCGTACTGTAAACTACCTTGCAAGCCATACTCGCAGTTTATCTGCCATGTAACTTCTCTAGGCTCAGAAGATATCTTCCACCTTGATGACGGGGAAGGTAAAAACGTCAAACGTAAGCATGGGTGGTTACTTCTATTCACACGCATCATTTTACATTCAATTCCTATCATTCCTCTCGCCTCCATTTGATCACGCCAAATGAATTCAAGAGCACAGGAGCGGCAAACACATAAGCAGCAGCAACTTTATTGATTTGAAAGCTGGGATAAATTTCAAAATCTTTTAAGTGACGAACTATGCTTCTGCCAGTTAGTTGCTCGTTCTCAAGCTGGTCTACACAAGCTTTTATGAAGTCTCAGAACGGTGAATTTATCCAAGTTCAAACCGAGCTCAAGAGGATTCTCATAGCAGCAAAATAAGTTAACAGACAATTTCACTGTAATACAGATAGCAGACAAGCACTACTCACCCTGGACAGATTACGAATTTACTCAAGGTTAGTAAGTATCCATCAACAATGTGGTTACGTTAAGATAGATCAAAGGACACGCTACATGGAAAGGTAACCCTACTTGCTGATTCACTAGTCAAGAAAGCAGCCAACTAAATACTTTTTCGACCTGGTCCTTTTATTGGACTAACAAACCTAATTAAAAAACATTCTCTTATGAAATTCAAGGAAATATGGGTTGAAACAAGAAGCTACAAAGGCCAGGAAGCGACTGAATAGAAAGAATCTGCGTCTGATCACAGGCATTCTAACTAGTCATCGCCATAGTATGGGGCATCAGAATCCGCACTATGCGGAGAAAGTAAACAAGAAGATGAGATCAATTATATCCTCTACGATTCCCCGACGTTCTCATTTATTAGAAGATTTGTTTTCGGCGAGAATTTTCTAACACCGGCCGATATAAGAGAAGCATCTCTTGGCGACGTTGTCAAGTATATTAAATTTATAGGCTAACTAACGAGCTAGGAAGTGCATGCATATTGTGCCTAGTGAAGCATAAGTAATGTACGGTATCCCATCCTCCACACATTATAGATACAGATTATCCAATCCAAATTCCATTTTTTTTATTATTATTTTTAGTAGTCACAACTGATACACATCTCCATAGATAAACAGATTTCCACAAAAGTACATCGTTTCGCGCCTAGACATCGCGAAGACTTACGTATGGCCCACCCTGTAGAATTATTATTGAATTTTCCCCCTTACAAAATGTGGGACATCAATTAAATTTGTATGATAGGCTTTGCAGCTATTGAATATAAATCATAAAACGATAATGAGGAAATCGTTACTGTACGAATATTAAAAATTATAGTAATTTTCTAGAATCATTTGGTTAATTTTCGTTTGTATAATGCCGCTATTTCTTCAAAATAATGGCAGTACAAATGCATAAATATTATGAAATATAAGAGGAAACCGGACCCCTTAATATAAAATTGTATTTATATGCGTGCCACTGGGAATACTTCGTGATATTATGTGTCTTGACAATATTAAGAGCTCTAAATTTGTGCAACAATAAGGCAGTACTCTATAGAGACGTTTAAGAAAAAAGGTCGAAAAGCATATCATTTAAAAACTACTAGATATTTATTAAAACAAAACGCAGCAAATTTTCATAGATGTAATACGGAATGGCGCTGAAATGTTTTTTTAAATTTCTATTAAAATTTTTCAAAATAAATACTTTTCGAAGGTTTACAAAAAATTCAAGATTTCTCCACCCCATTTTCATTATTTGACTTGGAAAGAGCCTAAGTTCGCTTATATTTAGAAGTGAGTGATGGACAAACTAATGAAAAATCTAACAAGAACTGAATAATACTCTAAGCAATAATAGGAAATAACAAACTAGTAACATTAATAATTGTCTAATTAAAAATTTAACCAATTGCTGATAAGGCTAAAATGAGGGTGAACTTACACGCAGGATTCCCGATGTACAGCTAATACCAAGTGTTCAAGAGAGTTGCGCCTTATGTAATTAAGTACTACTATATGTAACAAATGTTTAAACTAATTTATCTTGAAAAAAAAATGTTTTTAAGTTGTTCCACAAATTGGTTAATAAATAAATTGTTTGCTATAAATAAGAGCCAAAAATAAATCCGATATCTACCGCTGAAAAGAAACTAATGAAGCCTATAAAATACATAAATTTCCAAATGTAATTAATTGAAAGAATGTCGATGCAAGTTGGCGGCAAGGCGGTATTATATCTCGTTTACATAATTATGGAAGTTAATTAGGCCAAGATTTAGCGAACATCCCCGAGATAGTAAACTGCATTTCTAATTAAAGCTTTTTTAATGACACACATAAATCATATAAAGAATTTTAAGTTGTAGCAGTTAATAAATCTCAGAAATAGTCGCCTGCGTTGTAACTTCTTAGACTTCATTTTCAGCTGTATCTCAAGAATGGCGGTATACCTATTCGAGAAATAAGTGTAAGTCGGCACCGAGGGCTAATATTATATAATATACGAGCTTATTTAATTGTAATAATGTGGTATTCTTAGGAGTGAATATTATTAAAATAGTGTGCAGTGCTAAACTTTCCGCAATAAATAAATAATTTGTGTAAGCCACAAAATAGTTTGGCTAGACCAATATTTATAGTAGTAGTGTTTTTATATAAGTATTATGAAGAAACGTGACAACCTTTTGATAAAAAAATATTGTCTTAAAGAAAAGGCGCGTTCCCAACACACCTCATTATTCACAAATTAATATTTCACTAGTTGTCTCTATTGGATGGCCAAAATTACTAATAATTATAACATAATTGAATTAGAGTGATTTAAGTGTTTAAAACAGTATTTTGGTCAATCCAAATCCAATTTGAATGCAGGTAGAAACATTTTGCATTATGTAGCTAATCATTAATTTAAGTTGATGTCTATCATGAGATTGCATTCAAATTGAAGGATATATTCCTTAAAATATACAGGTAATAAATCTGGTATGTTTTAGGGAAAAGACGGCAGTCTTTTACGAAAAGCTATTTCAAAATTAAGTACTGAATATAGACTGCAATTTGCTTGGCCTCAGGGACACCAATCCAGACGCGAAGCTGCTGGTTCAACGCCCAGGAAGAGCCACTCAATGGGAACTTTGAAAGCGAGAGCCCAAACCAACGCCATGGTACATAAAAATAGAATCCACTTGGAAAACAAAGATGGTAATTATAAACTAAATATTTATTTAATACTCAAAAATGGGTATAAGCACAACTACTGGTAAATGAAGGTAACAAGAGTCATGTATTTCTGAAATTACATTGATAACGATGATGATGATGATGATGTGGTGACTGTGTTATATGACATTAACTATTTCACTCATATTAAAATTTTCACATAATCTGACCAATCACAAATCAAAGAAACCCGAAAACATCAGCTGTCTTTCGATTCTGAGTGGTCTATCAGCTTGTTGTTTTCAACAGCGTAACTATGGATACGGATCGCAAAACAAAGTTTGGCAGTTTAATAAGAAAATATTTGTAGCTGCAGACGTCAAAATGAGTGCTACTTAAAAACATTACTGAAAATATACCCAGTAGCACAAACAAATCTTGATCTTTGTTTGCGTATAGCCGTTCATACAATTTTTATAAATTTATGTTTCATACTTAGGTTGTTTATGTATTAACATTTTCAGCTAGCGAACTGGAGCCTTTAGTCGACGATAAGAGTAATAGATGCCGAGAGGAGTTCAACAGCGAATACAAGAAGAAATTTAGACCATTTTCTCATTATGAAAATACGGAAAAGGGATTGTCTACGAGAGGGATGGATGCCACAGACGAAGTTAGAAAAAAACTCACCGAAAACGACAAAACTTGGTATAAAGAAGTAGTTGAGCTACGTAAAAAAGCCGGAGAATACAAAGTAAGTTGGAATATTAAACGATTTAATCACGAACTAAATAATACAAAACCTTGTAGAGCCGAGGATGGGGAAGCGAACTTGCACCTGAACGTCTTACAGATATTTACAATAAACAGATAGAATTGTGGGATCAAGTTTCAAGGAGAAGTTCCTTATCAGCACTCTCCCTAGCTTCTATGACTCATAAAAATTACACTAAAGAAGAGAAAGATGATGACAATATTAGAAAGAGTTCTCCTACCAAGGACTATAGAAATGCTGAAAATTCTGCACGAATGATTAGAGACATTATACGACACCATTTAGAACGAACAACAGGAGGTTCAGGTAAGTTTTTAAGCCTTACAAAAATAAAAATACATTAATGGTTCCACGTTTAGAACTAGATGGACTTATCCTATCACCTACTAGAGAAAAATTAGAGCCTACAATACCACGAAGAGATGACGATTCGAGAGGTTCTCAGAAAAACAGCCCTAAGAAATGTTCACCACTAAAGTCTTCATCTTTAAAAAGAGCTAACCCCAAAACGAAACAAGGGGGACTCAAGAAACGTAAGTAATCTAAACTAAAAAGTAGAATCTGATATTTTTAAGAAATATATCTCCATTTTCAGTTCGATCGCAATCTGTAGGACCGACAACTGACAGTAACGTGGAAAAGCGATCTCCAAAACGTCAATCTAGATCTACCACAGCTAAGGAGGGACGAAAACCTTCAACTGAAACGCCTTCGACGACTAAGAGACCAAGACCTTGTAAGCCATAAAGCACGTGGTTTAAACCCTGACACAATCATTATCTATCCCATTTTCCAGAATTACAAAGTAGTGCCACAAAAGTGGACATCTTATAAATGAGATATAAGCTTGAAGATAAATTAAAATTGTATTTGTGGGGTCTGCCGTTGTAGCGCTACTAAACTGGATCGAAAAAAGTATAGATTTTTTTTGTGATGATTTAAAACAATTTTCTTTAGACAAAGCATTTTTAAATAGTTACCTACAGATAGAAACTCAATTCAGAGTAAATGTAGAGTTGGGCGATGGCGTTATTTTTCAATTTGAATCGTTACTGTTAATAGTGAAACTAATATAAATGAGGTTATATTTTCTTAAACCATTAACATCTTTAGGCGCCAGGTGATGGCGCTGAAATACAATTTGTGATGTAAAATTTGAAAGCGTCAACCAAAGGGCACCGAAAAACAATTTCGTTCTACTCTGATCAAGGGCTAGGGCCGGCGTTGCATGTGGGTAAATTTAAAGATACTTTGTAAATTAGGCTATGAAGTTTTAAAATTAAATTTGCAATATCAAAAAATAATCTATACCTTACTGTCAATAATTATCTCAATGAACATTTTTAACTTTTAATTAACTAATGTTCAATATGATTAAAATCGCAACAAAAATGAAGAATCAGCTTAGGTAAATCGAATTTAGATAGTCTGAAGATGCAAGTTCAATATGTTAGCACAGTTATACGTATTGGTCTGAGATAGAGCTGTAAGCAGCAACTTAGGAATGCTTGGGCAAAAATTGTAAAGGCCAAATGGTGAGAGTTAAAAAGGTTACAACAAAGGTACAGACCTAACCTACTTAATAAAGCTCTCTGCGATGTAAATTTGGTGAAGAGGAAATTTCACTGGTGTTACAGAAGAGGAGGTATGATCATCAGGTAATAAATTTGATGAAAGAAGATTTTGATAGGGATATCTGGAAAGAGCGTCCAGAATACGACAGAATGGAGGGGAAAGAAACACAGTGTAAATCCTAGGAAATTGTGATGAAGATAGATAGCTGTCCTTTAAAAAACTAATATGTCGTCATAATCCTCATTATAAAATATATTTTTTATTTTATTACCTATAACAAAAATGTTTATTGAGATATAAGTGTTCCGAAAATGCATGATAACAGGATAGTAAGGAAATATTTTCGTTGGGTGCAGGCTTAGACCAGAACTGTGAAATACACGACAATCGTGGAGTTTTTACTACTCGTTCAATGTTGCCATTTTAGATATAATACCCAACTCAAACATTTCCATATCGTATACAGACTAAAGAGATCTAGAACTACATAGACTTGTCGTTCTATGTGTCTCTAGTCTGTACATAGCTTAAAGCTACAGTTCACGTAGAAACAAGTTGCTGCTTGAAATTCTCATTTAGACTATAACTGTTTTAAACTGGAATTCGCCAAAAAAACCAGTGTGTGCCAAGACTCGTGAGCTTGCTTCTGGCTAATAAGATTTTTTTTTTCAATTTTCTTCTCGTCTCTTACAATTCCCTGACCCAAGCCTTTGCAATAGTAGTGACCGTGGATGTATGTGCTTTTTTGCTAATTTTTTTTATCATAATTTGGAACTGGATCGTCCGATACAATTAAAAAGACCAGACAGGGTTATGGAAAAATGAGCTTCGGTGAAATTTCCTGAATTTTTTATATGTTGCAATCAGTGGCGGCTGGTGGCCAAAATTTTGGGGGTTCACAGTGACAAAATATACGGATCAGTGCAAATGTGTGAAAAAACTTTCAGTGTTTTAGAAAGTTTATGGTATATCTTTCTAAAACAGTTTTTTACCTATATCTGTACCGGGATCTATATTCTGCTACTGTGAACCCCCAAAAATTTGGTCACGAGCCGCCCCTGGTTGCAATTATCGAATAGTGTCCATAGACACAGCTCAACCCTATGATTAGCTTTGATATACAGGGTGTTGAAGTTGCAACTTGGCTTTAATTTTAAAAAGGCGTGTCTCTTAAACTTACTGATTGCAAATATTTTTCGAAAATAATGCTTTACTGATATCAAACAATGTTTTCAGTTGTTATGTAAAATTAATGAATTTCCTAATTTCTAATATCTAACAACGAATTCCCCGAGACTCCTAGATTCTGTCTACACGTTATTCGTCGGTAATGATGCGAAACAAGCATATGAATTTAACACAATTGCAACATATCAAAAATGCAGAAAATTTCATCGAAGCCCATTTCTCCATATGCCAGCTGCCTGGTCATTTTTTAGACGATGATCATTAATAATTTATAACAGCGAAGGCGAGTTTTTTTCAATGAATGAATTAACTTGAATAATTGATTATTGTTTGTTTTTTTTTTGTAATACTTATACATATATTAAAAATACATTTCTACATCGTGATTAAAATATACTAATTTAAAAATATAAACGGGGATAAACAAGTTAAATGCGTAGGCAGTGCCGTAACTAGGGCGGTGTCCAAGCACAGGGCGCAGACTCTGGAGGGACACAGAAAATACTTAGCGGTGGCTTCTCAAGAGCGCATAATAAGGCTAGTTACGGCACTGTGCGTAGATAAAATAATTATAATAAAAGTTTGTTACGCTGTGAGTGGAGTGCTTTGTAGTAATACATTTTGAGTGGGCGACAGACACTTCTGTGTGAATTTGTATTTGTAATAAATGTTACGGTGTTTTAGCATCCCTCAACACCACTGTCTCATCCCGATCTAAATCCAGTTCGGTTCTAACAAAAAATGAAGACGATAGATTGGCCAAACCGTTACAAAACCAAAAAAGTATAGATACGTCTAAGCAAAATCAAAATGTAGCAACAAAAGATACAAAAGGAGTTCATTCAGGTAAGATATGTTTGGCACGATCCTTGGCACACGCAAAGAAATATAAATAAAATATTCACTAAAGTGTTTCAAATAAATGTTTAAATGTTTTTCGTTAGTTTATGTCCAATCTGTTTACATATTATCTAGACTAGAAGGTATCACATTTTTCAATTTAACACTGCTATATTTACTGGCTCGTAATCACATTAAGGTGCCGGATATTTCAGGATAAGTAAAAAATAATGGCTTAAATACCTAATACGATCAGTTTTTCCTGAGCTAATTATTTCTTACTTTAAAATTGAATTTATTTTTGTTATTATAAATGAGAAATCAATTAATCTGTACGATTTGGATAGAAGAAAAATCTCAAAAATATCCGGTAATCACACTACACAAAACGAAAAAGAAGCCAATTTTCAAAATGTGTACAATTCTTTAATGGAATAACTAAATATCTTAAACGATTCTCTTGAAATTAGTAAACTTTGTTTTAAGTAATCTGTTTGAAGAAAAGGTAAGAATATTTATTATTTTGTTCAAAACATTCTTAAACAAAACATTCTTAAAAACGTGCATATAGTAAGAGAGTCCACTGCAGATTTGCGTAATGATAATGAAATGAAATATACCCCAAGGACATGTAAAACATTATACTTTACCAAACAGCATATGCCAACCACTATTCTGAGCAAAGTGGTTAAAACAATGGCACTTCCGATGCAATTAACAAAAAAATTCGCGATAAGAGTTATGCCATCGGATACCTATTGATTAAGAAAACTCAAAAAAATTCCTAAAATGATATTAATAATAAATTAATTATATTAATAGTAGTAAACCAATTTTGGCCTCGATCTATGTTGCAAAGTAACTCTACCACAAATAAAATTTAACAAAATAAACAAATGGCTTCTTTTTAGTTTTGAATACTGTATATACCCGGATAGATTTAAGAAAGTGGAAAACCTTTTTATTTTCACCTTTTCAAAAAAAATGTTATTCTTCATAAAGTTTTAGCTAAGTTGCCTCCACTGTTTTGTATTATTTCATGTTAAAAATATAAAATAAATCAAATAACGTATATCCTTATTTCACTTAAGCACTTATATGTTTTGAAACAATAACATATTAAAGGTTGAAATTAAAAGTTTTTCTTATTTTGCAGTCCATCCGACACTATATATTAGGATATAATTTATAAATTTACTTAGGTACTGTTAACTAGTATTTTTTTAGTTATGTTAGTCTTTCTGAAGCATTTACATTTAATTTGGATCTTGCCACTTCTAGCTTGTAATGAATAGTTGTTTTATATTATGATTGTTGAAATACATAACTAAAAGGTGTCGTTTTTGTTATGACAGCTGATCAAGTGAAAGGTGCTGAAAATTCTATAGATCATAAGAATACTTCTGCTAATGAAGACTATGACAGCCTAAACTATGAACCAATAATTAAATCACCTCCAGAACCAACCAGAGTGAAGTCTCCCGAACAGATAATAATGCGTTCCCCTGATCCAGTAAATTGGACAGTGCCTTTGGATACCGGAAAAACCTTTACCGTTACACAGAATGTTAGAGAAGGTAAATTAAAAACAAAACATACTCGCAATAATATTGTACAAGGAACATGCATATTTTTTTGGGTAATGTACAAAATTTGATATGCATCTATTTTGATTTGAGTGAATTTTGTTTGATTTGAGTGAATTTTGGTTTAGGGGACATCGGAAGCAGACCCCACAGTGAAGTAAAAGTCTGGACGCCCCCAGATGTACCACCACCTGTGGCTCAATCAGCGCCTCCTACACTTATTCAACAGTCGAAGGAAACTGCAGGCTTTTCTTAAATGACCTGAGTTCTGCTTACCATTCATTATTGATTTGGTTATTGCTTTAGTATTGATTTTTCAGCAGAAGCAAGAACTTGGGCAGAGGCCAGGGCCATCGCTGCACAGGCAAGTCTAAAAAATCCATTCCTACTGTACACGTTCATTGTGAAAACTATACGTATAGTCCCATAAGAAAAATATTAACTTAACAATGTTAATTTGTGCACCCAGATATTTTATCCGAGGGGAGGGAGGGGGTGTTAAGATTTTTAATACCTATAATTTGTACAACGTAAAATTTTATATTAACATTTTGGGGGAGGGGGGAAGGTTGTAATAACTTCTCTTTTTTTTTTTCATTGGCCAAAGGTATTTTTCAAATATTTAGATATGAATTTAGAAAAAGTGTTTTTTTTCTCCTTGCTACACTTTTTTTTTATATTTTTTCATTTTATTTATATTTGTTAAAAGTTGTTTTAATTTAAATATGTAGATGAAAGGCACAGGCCTTTCATCATGCGCCCTACGAAAAAATTGTATACAGCATATAATTTGTACAGTAATACGGTTTTCGCGAGTGTTGGAACAAACCTAATGTGTTTTTAATTATTTTAATGGTTTTTTATTACTTAAAAATTAATATAATTTACTAGACGTTTGGTATAGGTATATAAGCGATTTTATTTATTATATTAGGATTACTATTTAAATAAAGATATTTATTATTGATTAATAATTATTCTTAGTATTAAAAAAACAAAAATATTTCAATAGAAATAAAAATTAATTTAAAATTCAGAAAAAAAAAATTGTTTACAAAAAAAGTTAATTTGAAATCAAAAGACTCACCATTAGAAGTCGCTCATTCCTCCTAAAACAACAAGAAATTTCAATAAATAATAAAATTAAACATAAATTCGGAAAAAATATTTTCATGTCCAGAATAAAATCAAAAATAAACTTCGCCCTTTTATTTTCTAAATTTTTATATATTATTTTTAATTATATTTATTCTATATCAAATTGAAAATAATAAAAACAATATTATTATTTATGGTGTTTGTAGAAAACATTCAATTTAAAACAAAACACTCACCATTTCAAGCCCCTCATTCCACCTTCACTCTCTATCCCATTTGACGTTCCAAGTATTTCTCTCCGCTTCTCCATAATATCCATTATTTCCAGTAGACTTTCCCGATTAAAACGCGTCCCGGAAAATCTTCTACTCCCGACGACATTAATGATCACCACATCATGTTCAATTCTATATCATCCCTTTGATACGTAGATGTATCTCTGGGTAGTATATCTGCAGCCTTGTCCATTTGATCCTGGAAAGTATATCCAGAGACAAAACAATGTAAATCAAAGATTAATATTAAACATCAAAGGACATACATTCCAAGATGAAACGTCTTTATTGTTAGAGGTGAAATGAACATGAGCACAGACCATTGATATCGTGCTACCGATTAACTCGAGAAATTTGCGGCGATTTGAATTTTTCTTTACGACTGACTTTACGAATATTCCCTGAAAAGAAAAACAACAATTATTAGACAATTTTGAAAACGTCAAAAGGGTATGATATTTCTGTACCTTAGAAAATAGTGTAACTAGAATTTACAATTTTTTATATTTTAAAATGTTTTCAAAAATATAACTGGTAAAAAATGCAAATATGCCCTTATAATGAATTATTTTTCATAAAATATACTGGGTGTTCCATTTAAGCTCCGCATATAAATATCTATTCGGTTTATCAATAAATATTTGAATTTATTTTTTCAGTTTAAATACTTTGTGTACGAAGTAGAATCATATTTTAGAAGACCTTCATTTGCCAGGACCTAGGAATCATTTTGATTTCACTAGGAGGGGTGAACAGTTGATCAGTGTGAAGATAGCACCAGGATCAGAAGCCCGTGAAACTCTTTGCAGGGTAGTAGGCAGAACTTTCGATACTTACTGTTCAACTAACTTTTTTGTAAAACAAGCCGTGTTACATCTTTATTTGAGACCAATTTTAATATAAAAATGTATCATGGAATTTGATAAAATAACTATTTGCGGTCCTTATTTAGCAACTAAGCTCAGCTTTACCTTTGTAATTGTAGTAGTTCAGTATATTTAGGGATATGTGTACGAATATATTAATCAAAATATCTTTAATAACGTGTTTCTACCATATAGTCCTAGTAGGTCCTAATAAAAATTTTAAATACATAGCATATTACATATGATACCTATATCAGCATTTGCATTCCTTTATCTGTACATATAAGAAATTCACTATACATCCTCAATAAACTTATTAATCTACTAGGCGAATTGGTGAAAATTTTCTGTCTTGGGAAGCTAGTGTTTCGCTAAGATCTACTTTAAGGCATTCATAAAAATTATTTTGCTAGTTTTGTACCTATTGATCTTGAGCAAATTGCAATTTTTTTCTAAATATACTGGTCTACAAATGCTTAACATTTGTTCCTTGCGTCCAACAGTTAAAACCGAATCCGTCAAAAAATTCGCAGGAATCTTTTGTTTTTCTATTCCTTAGCCAGGGCCACCAGACGTCCCATTTTTACAAAAATAAAAAAGTATAATTGTTAACCAGTACATACATTCATGTTTCTGCCAAACAATATAAAGCAACATATAAATATGATTGATATTCATATATTTTGTGTAGATGCGTATGCTTGCAAAATTTTTCATTCATTTAGTGTACGTTGTACATCGAATGCACTTGTGTATTATTTTGATTGTAGATTTCGAAATTACATCGTCTTTGTTTCAATGGTTTCACAAAATTTCAATAAATTCCATGTCGAATGTTCAAAAGTATACAAACATTGTGAAATTACTAACACCAAGACAATGACAGTTAAAAATCTGCAATCAAAAGTAGTAGCGTTGTCTACAACCTTTAAACAATCGCTGTGTATTATTTTATTAAGTCGAAATTAAAGAAATGTTATATAAAGTTTCTGTTAATTTATGTCTTTCATTTACCTGTTTACACTTTCCATATTCCTAATATACAATATACTGATCCAGTGTGGAATTTCTTGCCAGAGCTGTACAGTTACTCTTGCTCTAAAAAAAATAATGATTGTAATAAACTTGGCCGAGGGTTGACATTAGAGATACCCACATATTAAATAAATCAGGATTTTATTTAAGATTTTTATGCCATTAGTACTACAATCTTCTCACTGTGCTTCACAGAAAACAAATGAACAATAATTTACAACTGTCATACGTCACTGTAGCATTGTAAGTACCAACTTAAAATATTTATTAGGTTTTTTTTTTTTTAGAGTAACCAATGCTGTATAATTATACAGATTGCTCACCGAATATGTAATAAGCCTTCGCAAAAAGTGGGCCTATTGCTCACTGATCAGGGTCGGTCTAATTCAAATTTTACCCTTTAAATACAGGAAAAAAATAATTACTTAAAATTTGTTTAAAAAAAAAGTATATATAACTAAAAAAAATCTTCCCTAAACTAGTGTCTCGATTTTGTTATATTATATTCTTTTTCGGGATATTGTTTATTCCAAATATTTACTTTTTTTATGTCAATCAATATTACAAGTTTAATATTTATTTATATCTGTTGAAACAAGTATTTATCGACTGAACCACTTTATTTATTTTTAGATTTATATTTATTAGTATCTTTTTTGTAATAACTATGATTAATAACGTTTTTTTATTATTATTACATAAAAGTTGCCTTGATAACCGTATATTCATACGACTGGGTTTGGGACAGTTTGGATTTGGAAAGTAATAAACAAAAAATATGTTTAATTTGTGTTGTAACAACCCATCAAATTAGGTCTAGGATATTACAAGTAAAATCTTTAAAAAGTCAGAAAGAAACTAAGTGCTTTAACCTTTATTCGATTATAAAATAGCATCATTCATAAACTATATAATATGCTACATTTAACATGGAAATGGTCATAAATAAAAATAGTTGAACAAGTTAACATAAAAGTTATACAATATGCGTATTGAAGAGGATATGTAGGAATGCTAGCAATTTTGATCACCAACAGATGAAACCGTTGAGACCGTAGACGGAGTACCTGTACCAGAGCTGAACTTTTGATCGCCGTCGCAGATGTACTTTCCGGATACAAATCGCCTTTTGACTAGGGACAAACGATAACCCGGACCCACAAGTTGAAAATCAATTCCAGATAATGTTGTTCCCTCGCAGTTGAACTGCGTTAGAATCGTCTGCGGTGTTCCGGGCCCGTTCTCAAGATCGTATCGCGCTGCTACTGATCCTACGCCGTGGTTTTCTGAATGTTGCGACAGCTCCGTGAATTTCCATGTGATCCTATTGTTATCAGTAGGCCTAAAAATACAATAAAATAATGCTAACATAGAAGATAAGAAAAAATAATTTACAGTTAGCAAATTGTTTACATAAAACAGTAATGATATTAATATACAGACAATTGAATATAATCAATACAAATAAGGAATAGGAGATTACCTGTGATGTTCAAATATTCAGTTTCGTGGTTCTTAAATCTCTGAACAGCACAGGGATTCTTACGTTACGTATCTAATAGAGGCATTACATAAGAATCGCAGTCTGTCGAACGAAGATAGGCGTCTTGATACATGATGTATCGAAATATGAGAATCCCACTGCAGAAGTATCAAGAAGTTGTAGATCATTAAGAGAATTAGCTAGTCAGTATATTAGGAATGAATGTATTGAAAGCACAATTGTATGGTGAAAGTCCTACGAACTTCTAGAGAAGATAATATATGCTTAAATATTGTAGTAAATGTTAAACTTAAATGCTTTATATCTAAGAAAATTATTTTGAACCTTATTCAAATTACTTTTATGACTTAAGTAATGAGTGCTGAAGAACAATAATCAAGTTGTGTCCTTGTCCTTAAAGAGAAGTATAGAATTTTAACTGTGTTCAGATTAGAAAAATAATGAATTGTTCTCCTAGCAAAGTCCAGCTTTTTCATTGATTTTTGAACTGTAACAGTAATATGGCGATTAAAGCTTATAGAAGAAACAGAAGTGATCCCAGCAGAGCCATGGTGGGCCGCGGGACAAAACACTTGCAAGGCCCCCCTAGCCACAGATACTAATCTACTTTTTTTAAAGCTCTTGTGCCACCTCTGAGCCCGGGCCCCGGGGATTTTGCCGTCTCTGTATCTCCCTCTCGTTGGGCCTCATCCCCAGATCCTTGATTTGATTAACAGGGTTCAAAACATGATCAAATAAACTATAATTAAACGTTATTAAATGATGGTTACGACGAAATCGGATAATGTGACATTTGCTAATATTTAAATCCATGTCATTACAAGAGCACCGACTTGCAAGTCTATTTACATCAGATTGCAAATTCCGAGTGTCATCATAAACATTAATGAACTTGAAGCACTTCAAATTATCTGCAAATAATGGGGCTTTAGTGTCAAGAAAGCAAGTTGTGATATCATTTATAAAAAGATTAAATAGTAATGGTCCAAAGTGAGACCCCGAGAGAAAACATTTGGGAATAATAATCTAAGACCTTTCCACTTATATAACAAACTAAGATTATAAATTGTCAAAGCTTTGGAAAAGTTGGTATACACAGGCCCGTCTCCAAATAAGGTTAGTTGGGGCAGTTACATATAAGAAAATCAATTATTATGCTTTTAAAGATTTTTAGTATTGTGCTAAGAATGAAAAAAGGTCAATCATTTTTTGCATCAGTTTTGTTGACCGATTTGTAAATGGCAATAATATAAGAGGGTTTCCAAAAGTCAGGAAATTCGCCTGTGCTCAATGATTTGTTAGAAATATGTATAAATGGTTAAAATAGGTGGAATTCCATCAGGGTCAAGTCCTTTATTTTTGTTAAGTGTTGACAACTTTTCATAGATACTGGAAATTTGGATAAAATAAGAAGATATGCATATTCCTGATAATATTTTGCATTTTTAAACATCTATCGAGCTGTTTTAGTCAATGATTAATGTACGAAATAATCAACATAGTGTCCCAGATAATGCATTCTTTGAAGGTATAAGTAATCATTTATAATACAAATGTTTTCTTATTATTGTACCAGAATATGAACATAGATTACCTTAAATGCTGACAACTATTAATGACAGTATGGACACTTACCACTGAGCTGTAGGTTTGGTTTGCATGTTCTTAACAACTCCTGGTACAGGAACAGCTACAGTTACATTTAATAAAGGAGTTGGTGAACTCATGGCGTGTGAATTATATTTATAATCAATTTTCAGATCTGTGTGGGCACTTGAACACTTCCAGTAAGCGACTAGTTGGAATGGGCATGAATTTGCTCCAGGTTTCGGTTTTATCTAAAAAAAGAAAGAACCGTTTAAAATTATGGTTAATAGAATTCAAAATAAATTACCTGGTATTTCAGAATATCGACATTAAAGTAAGAAGCACTAGGATTTTGTTCGGACTGTTTTTTGAGTAAGGAACTTAAAGCAAACATATTAAATTCGATAGTTACATGGTCGGACGCTGGTTGTCCGCTATCGCTGAAAATTAAAATGACTATTATTGTATGTCGAATCACCTTCAAAATCAATTACTTACGAATAAACTAATTGATGGTTGGGAATAAAGCTAGTTAACCTAAGAGTATTCTTAACACGAAACACTAATTTCGCTGGGTTTGGATTATTTGCGAGAATGGTTACTATTCCAGCTGGGAAAGACAACATCATCTCACCTGACATTTTTACTTGACACCTAAAAAACCAATAACGTAATAAATAAAAGCAAACTCCGCTAAAACCATTATTTACCTCGATTCATCTGCTCCTCTAAAATATGAGTGAACTATCTCATGAAAGGCTACAGCAAGAGGTATAGTATCTGCCATGCCAATGGTTAAAGGCGATGGACCTCTTGAAACGCCGATGGGAACAGAAGCAGTACGGAATTCCAGACTATTTATACTATCAGCTCGAGATATTGTAGACTGATTCATTAGATTCCTAGACGGATCTGAGCGACGCGAGGGCGGTCTCGGAATTGACATATAACCAGACGTCGGAGTCGGTGTTTGACGCTGAGGATGTTGCTTTGGCGGAGGCTGTTGCATTTCACCATCTTCGGAAAATATTTCTCCTAATTCTGAAAATAATATCAACTGAATACATATTTCATTACTTGTTTATTGCTGCAATAGAAATTAACCAACTTTTGGGACTAACCTGCATATCTCGAAGACGAAGACAATGTGGGAGAGTTTAATGCAAGCTGAGATGGACTCTGCAGGGGAGCGTACGGATGAGAACTGGTTGGTGTGGATGCATTCGAAGCTGTAGGGCTTTGTAGAAAATTTAGACCCAAAAGATCGCTGCTTGGTAATTGTTGTGAAACAGATTGCGATCGTTTCATTTTTTCGAGGCCAGAATCCATATTAGAACCGCGTCTTGCAAAACCTCCGGTCGGCGATAGATATAAATTTTCAACAGTTGCTCTGAGTTCATCAACCGAAGCGGACATTGGGGCTGATCCATTGTTTAGGGGTTTAATTTCAACGTGAATTTTACGTTCTCTGTCATCATCTAAAAATGTATTTATTGAATATTAAACATTCGGTATAAAAGTATGAGTAAAAGTACCTGAATCTGAGTCGGAAGATGAGTAAAAACTTCCTTTTTCACTGTTCCAATTGTGTGAAACTTCAGGCCTTATTACATAACCATCTTCATCTACTTCTTGAGTAGATGGATCTGTCGTTTCAGTAGTTCTTTGACTTTTTTGAGAATCGTCCTTTTCCTCCCTAAAATTATAGTAAAATTATGTAAATTTTTTGATGAAAGTAAGCATTCAATTCCAATAAAGACACCATACATCCTGAGGTATATTTAACTGTTTTTTTGCCACTAGCAACAATTTAAAATATATTTTTATAAATGCTGAATTACACAGCTGGTGTCATGAAAATAATTCAATTTGGAAAAGTAATTATTATAAATCGAAAGTAAAAATTGGTAAAACTTACAAATCTGATTTTTCTTCTTTATTACTATGGTTATCAACGCTGTCTTTGCTCTTTTTCTTTGCTTTCTTCTGTTTAGTTTTGTCCCTTCTACTTCTTAAAAACCCTATGAACACATTATGAATTATTATAAAGAAATGAAAGAGGCGTAAGAAAGAATGAAGCTGTATTTGTAGTCAATGGTAAATTATAATCCAAAAATAATAGGTGTGTATGTGTGATATGTTCTAAAGCAGTTGCCAATAAACATTAAGTGAAGAATGTATTTCTCTAGTTTTGACAGCATTATAGCACATGATGATTTCAAAATATGATGCTACAATTTGCCAACACAACGCCAAAAAATAAATGATATATGCCATGCGACTATACAAAAAATATATATGAAACCCCCAGATACCTAACAAAGAACTCTAGTTTTTAAAATATTTTACAAATTACTGCATCAATTCAATTTTTATTTTATAATACATTTTTGTATAGAAGTTTATTGTGAGTAGAAAGGATTTTTCTTAATTTTGATTATCGTTTTGGAAAATATAATTAAAAATCATTCGGAATTTTTTCTGAAATACTGTGGCTAAAATTGAATTTTTATCAATTTATATGCCTACTAAATTTAATGGACTAACAGCAGGTTGCAAAAACGTTCAGCCTGTCAAACTTTGATGTTAATATCATTCAGTCAAACCATATATTCAAAATTTTTTAGACTTAAAGTTAATTGAACTTTCTTGCAACCGGCTTTAAGAATTTCTGAAGGAGATCAACTGTTAGGTACCAGAGGTCTATGAGGAAAAGAAAATAAATAAAGCCTTCTAAATGAAATGAAAAATTTATATTGCTGAAAAGAACAAAAAATAAAGAAAATGAACCTTCACCAAAAATTAAAATACTGTTGGGGCCCACTCATGCAGCTGTGATGTCAGGAATAGTAGAACAGATTAACATAAAATTCCTTTTTTGTGTTTTTATTAGTAATGTAATGAGAGGGATATTAAAATGTAATGAAAAAGGAATTTTATATGTTCTTATGGTCCTTGTAACATCTAAAAGGAAAGAAAAATTTACACTTGGATCCTCGATTGGAGTGTCTTGTTAACTTGTCTTGTTCACCCTCTGGACTTGTGGGACTCGAAGGCGCGCTGCATGGGCCCGCTCGACTTTCCCGTGACCCTAAAAAATAGCCCAAGCCCCCGTTAAAAAGTGCTATAGCCACCGGGAGGCCGTAAACGTACCCTGGGAGTTAGACATGAAGAGGTTTAGGAGAGAGGTTGTTCGACGAGATGTTTTGGCATGTGTTGGCACGGATTGTTCATTTTGACCATTACCTTCTCTCTTTGCTGGTTTTGGTTCTGCATCTGTTGGAGTTGGCGATGCCAGGGGGTCCTCCAAATCCAATATACCTGCTCAAAAATTACTAATGCTACTAGAAAGTTTAACAAATTACTTTTTATAAAATAATTGCAATTATTTCATTTCAAACCAACAAAAAAAGTTATAAATATTTCACATAAAAGTTAGTAAAAACGCATCAAAAAGGACCAAACAGTGAGGACAATGGCTATGCAGAATTTATGAGGTTACACAATATTCCTCCATCAATTAGCAGAGTCAAAATTCCTCCAACATTTGTCTTTGGTGGATGCTGAAAAGTAGAAATCAAAGTATGAAAAGAGAATCTAGAACCTCTCATTTCAAAAGGGCTTGTCTGATTTACAGATTGGTCCTGAATAGTTGAGGTTACTGGAGGGCATGTGAAGTTGACATCTCAAATCTCAGCATCTCATATATTAAGGTGAGGTCTTATGGCATCCGAAATAAATAAATAAAAAAAAGGACATAAACTTGATAGTTAATGAAAAGTTTTTGTTGGTTAAAGAAATTAAATTACCGCTAATATGGCACCCATCAAATCCTACAATGAATCATGCAAATTAATTAAAAATTAAGATGGTTTGGTATAGGATTGACACACATTGCATTACCGATACAATATTGCAACACAATTTAAGAATAGGAATACTATGATGTAAAAATTTGTCTAAATACGAAAAATTGTAAAATAGTATGTCTCAAAAAGTCAAGAAGATATATGGTACCTGGTCTTTCTAATCCTGTTGACTTGCTCCGGACAAATTGTTCAAGCAGTTGGTCTACAGTTAGTTCAACACACTGCTGTCGAAACTCAGAATGTACAGTCCCCATTTGCCGGTGCGTCCATTCTATAACTTCTGCGTATTTATTGAGAAACTCCTTCATATGCATCAAGTGGTTAACTTCTATCTCTTGAAAATTTTTACAGGTCACAGACATTTTCTTTTCAAAATCATCTTTTACACTACTATATTTGTCTACGAAGCTTTTATAATCTTCCTGGGCTTTTTTAAGTTTTATTTCAGCTTTCTCTATTTCTTTGGCTGAATTGCTTTCTTTACGTAACTTTTCTAATTCTAGGGCACGCTGAGTGTATGTATCTCGAGATTTTTGAACATTTAATGTTACAGCTTGCATAGCTTGTACCGCCTCTAGGGTACCTGACTCCTCATCTTTGACCTATGAACAAATGGTAACAGCATGGAGAAAAATAAATTCATATCAATATTTGTAAATCTATATATTACATTGTATAATCGCCATTAATATAAAAGTTAATATAGTAAGGACTTCTACTGCATTTATGCATGTGTGCTCCACAAATGTTTTTAGCCTATCTTTGAGTGGAGAAAAATAAATAGGGAAAATAACACACAACTTTATTTTCATGAGTATAAATGAAATTTAACACTTAAAGAACTGGTTTTTCGTTTTTGATTTTGAAAGATTGTCAGTGGGAATTTTAATTTGTTGATGTCACAGGGGAATTTATAAGAAAGAAGAAGAGTTGAATGAAGTTGAGAAAAATACAAAAAAAAAGTACAAAGAATTTTATTTAAAAAGATTGTTATAGAAAAGGAAAAGCAAGAGTCAGAGGAGAGCAGTCAATGAAAGATTCAGAACAGGAATAAATTAGGGATGTAAGGGCAGGAGTCAGAGCTGGAAGCAGGAGTTGGAACCAGTGTTGCCAGTCTAGTACAATTGTACCAGATCTAGTACATTTTCTAAGAATCTGGTACACTCGAAGCAAAATCTAGTACCTTTTCATTTTTCAGCATGTTATCAATTGACGCGTGTAAAATATATTATTGGGATCTTGCTCCTCGTTTTGTTTTTGTTCGCTATAAACCATTTTTATACCTTAATAAACCAAACCACATCACAATTCATTCGAAAATCTGGTACATTTTACAGAATCTAGTACATTTTTATGTAATCTGGTACATTTTTTAGACAAATCTGGTACATAACAAAAATATATTCTGGCAATACTGGTTGGAACCAGTACCACAGGGAGAAAAAGAAGACCGGAAGATATTTAGTTATCATATAATTTAAAAATTATTTAGTTATTATACTCTTCACACAGTACATAGTGAAAATATATAAAAAAAATCCTAACTAAAAAAAATTATATCAACTTGAAATTTTTAGAAAAAATCAAACTCTATAAGGGGAACAAGCCCTTTGATTTTGAAAAAATCTGATTATAAATGGGTGGTTTAAGGGGGGTTAAAATAAAAAAAATAAATAAAAAGAAAGTGATAACATGAAATTTTTAGTAAAAATCAAGCTCTATATGAGGGAATGAATAAATAAAAATAGAGAGATAAGGGAGGGTTGAAATATTGAAAAAAAAATTTAACTCAGAAAATCAATTAAGGTCTATTATTTCTGAAAAATCTGATTGAAAATGGGGGTCAAGGGGGTCTGCTAAATTGTGAAGAGTATTATATAAGAATGACAAACATTATACAGTGTGGAAACCACTTATGGAATAAAATTCTTTATGTCATTATTTTAGAAAATTGTAAAAAATGCCGAGACACGTCAACTTTTGAATTGAGTTGTGCGTTATGTAAACATAAATTTAAATGTACAGGGTGATTCACGCAAGTATGCCATAGTCGGTGTTGTTTTTTTTTAATGAAACACCCTGTATATTTGCATATTTTTGAAATTCTCCTAATAAACCGATTCCAACAAACTGAATAATGTATGTATGCAAATATACAGGGTGTTTCATTAAAAAAAAACAACACCGACTATGGCATACTTGCGTGAATCACCCTGTACATTTAAATTTATGTTTACATAACGCACAACTCAATTCAAAAGTTGACATGTCTCGGCATTTTTTATAATTTTCTAAAATAATGACATAAAGAATTTTATTCCATAAGTGGTTTCCACACTGTATATCTTCAATATAGTTTAGTATTTGAAATTTGCTGTAGGGGGCCATATGAGTCACTAAAAGAGTTAGGATATTGGATTGGTTTGACTCTTCTGAGGGAAACTATTACAATATATACAGAGTGAAGCATTTACATTGGCATACCCAAATATTGCGACAAGTGATATATAAACAATGTTTTAGACCAATGTTATTTAACATTGAAGGGGCAACTTTGATATATCAAATAGAAACCTGTACTTTTGTTAGTATTTAACTGTAAAAAAACAAGTTTTATTTGAAACATTTTTAATTGCATTATTTAAAAAACAAAGTTGACCCTGAAAATATAGACTCAACTAAACATCACTAAGGCTGTTGTCAAAATATTTGATTGTGCCAACTAAAATGCCTCACTCTGTAAATGTAAAATTTATTTAGAGATGACCCAGTTAATACGCAGTGTATAACTAACAAAATTCAGTGTATTAAACCCAAAATTATCATAAAATTAGATAACCTTTAATTGCCATTACAGTATATAATTAAATAATACATCAAATTTTAAAATTATTACAATTGATATTGTTTTACAGTAGCATGTGGTGCAGATAAGAATGATTTAACTCCGAAAATATCATTTTTATAATGGTCATAAAACAAAGACTTACCAATTTGTGTTTCTTATGTAATTCATCTGCATATTTGCTAACTTCTTTCACCAAATCTGTTACTTTCTGTACCATTTGCATATGCAGAGCAGATAATTTTTCTGCTGATGTTTTCAAGACTTGCCATAATGGGGCAAAAGTACCATGTACACAGCAACTACCTGCTTGCTTTGCTAATTTACTTAATAATTTGGAGTTATTTTCTTCTATATTTGATCTGAAAAATAAATATTTCAGTACTTACATGCTATATATTTAAATATGCAAACTACTAGAGAGAAAAACCAAAATATTAATTTAAATTTACATAGTATGCCATTTTTTAACCTAAATTCTTTATTGTGAGTAATAAAGATAGCATTTATTAAGCAAATCATAGTCTAACTAGTTTAAACATAGACATTTAAGATTTTTGAACAACTGCACGACTACTTGTAAATAACAAACATAAGGTGGTATCAGTTTGAAATGGAATTATCCATTGATTAAACTGCTATTTATTAATAACTGTTGGACTTTGAAATTAAAGAATTGGTTGTTTCTGACATATATAAATATATACACTATAACTATGTTATGTGACAGCTAAAAGGTATACAATTGATACTTACTTTTCCCTAAGAAATTCTGCAAATTCTTTACTAGCAGCTAGCCCAAATTTCATATTGTGGTACAGAACATCAAATCCATTGTTTTTTTCGCCCTAATTAATACAAACAGTGGTGTTAATTCAATTAATTACAAGAAATGTTTAAGGTTATTTGCAAAGCCATTACTTACCCAAAAATAATCATTAAAATCAACCGTCATTGTAATTATCTAATCATGCCCATATATATTGAATAATTATGTATAATAAAAGGGCAGAGAATAGTTCAATTTCTAGATTGTAAACAATTAAGTTGACAACCGTTGAAAATGCTTCATAAACTACTTGTCAACCAAATCACATACATTAATTAATTAAAGGTTATTAAACGAACTAAGTGAAATAACAAACTATAGCACCACACTGATTAGAATATCCAATAAACTTTACTGATAAAATGAAAACTCCTTAAAACTTTAGATCTTCCATGTTACAACTTATAACTAAAATTAAAAATAGGGGGCGGAACCATAAACCAAAACCATCCGTCTCAATCTTTTTTGGTTAATAATCGTAGAACAACAAATAGCAAACGTCAAACTTATTCGAATTCAATCACAATTGCTGTTTATTAAAATAGTGTAATAAAAGAAGATAGAATGTGATTCTTTTTTCATCAAAAATAGGCATTCCAGCGACCTGTCAAAATGCTGACATGTTAGATATGGCAACATTGTGGGCCTTGCCATGGACAAAGTCAATGCTAAATAATAGTTATACAGATTGCTCAAAGCGGATTGTTTTTGCGAGCGGCCATATTGCCTCGCAAATACTCATTAATCAGAATATTTTTAGCAAAAATGTGTTTTAAAACCTTTGAATATGGCATAAAAAATAATTCCTTACATTTTTACTTCAAGATATAAGCTTATGTTTATTTTGAAAAATATGGATGATCAATCTATGTAACTATCTATTTCATTGACCCCGACAAAACATCAAACCCACGGGGTTGCCATATCATAACCTGTCAAAACTCACTGGCAGCCATTTTGTTTGGAATGCTTAATTAAATGTAATTTGTCTAATGAAATATTATGTAGACTGCTCATTCATATGTAAATCATACTACGAAACACTGATCAAAGTTTTATCTTTATCTAATTCATGAATTATTTATATTTTGTCTCAATGTGTGAACTCGTATGCAACAAATCATATATACAGGACCAGATAGAAATTAGAATATTTAAGGTCCGATTCCACCGTTGTGTTAAACGGAGATTAAAATGACATTAATGTAAAAATGTCATTTTAAACTTCGTTTAACACAACGGTGGAATCGGTCCTAAGGTGCATATAATGAGCCGGGCCCGAGCCAACAACGGGCCTAGGTTTGTCAGATTTGCGCGGGGTCGAATATCTACCGCGCAATGGAAATCAACGGGCCTACCACGGGCCGGGACAAGTAGGATCGAAGTAGGTCCGTTTGCTTTCCATCGTGCGGCAGATATATACTAGTGGAAAAATTAAAGGATCAAATTTTTTTTCGATTTTTTGCGATTTTTCGAGTGGCTGTATCTTTGGTAAAAATGGTCGTACGTGAATGAAAAAAAAAGTAATTTGAAGCTTGAAGTGTCTAATTTATGGATCTTGCGATAAAAAATTTTCCAACCAACAATTAGCACAAAATTCTGATGAATATCATAGACAGAAAAACGCGATCCTTCAATTTCTTCAAAAATTCACTCGCATAAAACAATGAAACGGCTTGATGGATCAGGTTGAAATTTTATAGGGCTTTCGGGGGAACAATGGCCTGTAAGATGCATACTCAACATTATTCATTTTCCCAATATTCTCAATTAAGCTCGTGATTTTCTAAAAACCTCAAAAAGACTTGTTTTCCGAAATTCTTCAAAGTCATGCTAGGGATGGAAAAAAAATTTCTTGTGAAAGAACATGCCAGAGCCTTGTAGAGAATGAATCGAAGTTTCCGAAACCCCCATTCCATTTTCTGAGCGGCCATTGGTTCCTGAGGTATTGACGAGAGAAGAGGAAATGACGCATTTTCGGTCATTTTCTGATAACTTAGCAAGGAAGGGTCATTTCGAGGCCATCAAAAAAAAGGAATTGAAGCTAACTGAAGCACCTATTCAATGCATATATAGTGGTTATGTCCGTACACTAAAAATTAAAAAAAAAAATTCAGAATTTTCTATCCCTCAGGATTTTGTGTTAATTGTTGGTTGGAACATTTTTTATCACAAGATCCATAAACTAGACACTTCAAGCTTCAAATTGCTTTTTTTTTCATTCACGTACGACCATTTTTACCAAAGATTCAGACACAGATAACTTGCAAACATTTGAACTTATTGAGACACGGACGGAATTTTAACAAAAAGCTAATTACATTACATATTATATACTGGGTGACCCAAAGAATGGCTATCGGCCATATCTCAAGAATCATTTATAGTAGATATAGCGCCGGGTAAAATATGTTCAATGACTGAAAGGTCAACGAGAAAAATATGAAAATTATTTAACGGGTATGCTATAAAGAGTAGTCTAAATAATTACCAACAAATCAGCAAAAACCGGGTATCGATATAATTTTTTTCCCGAAAAATCTTTAGACACGTATAATAAATGTAAATAAAATGAACCTATAAAAGAACATGTTAAAGAAAACGATGAGACAATTTTTTATTTTTAAAGATCTTTTTATATTCCTCAAGGTGTACCTCTACATATGGTAGAAGTATGCACATTTCCTTGTCTTACCTCTTATAAAAATAGGAACATATTTTAAATAAAACATCTATATCCAATTTAACAATATTTTATCGTAAACGGCCATATATAATCTAAATAAAAAGTAATATATGTTTGGAAAAATTACGTGATAATAGTAACAAAAAATAAACATAAATTTATTAACCTAAAACTAAACGGGAGCCTATTATTTGACGATTTTTTCACCCTCAGCATAATTCATCCACACTCGACATTATGGTCAACGGCGTACACAGTCGCTCACATTCGGTCATCCTGACTGAATAATGCTGTAACAAGAAAAATATTAATTCTACTGTAATAATTAAGTACCTATCTGAAATGAAAATCCTGGGTTAATAGGCCGTTGGAGCATAGTGATGACCACACTAACTCTTTGTGTACTGTTTGGCTTTAGCAAAGTAGTAGTATATCTTCAATGAGATTGTTGCCATTCCTGATAGACATCGTCGGCTGAGATGGGTGTCTATTGTACGGAGTAAATTTTAACTAACCTGACTGTGAGCCAAACTAAGAATATCTTTTTTCTCTTTGGGAAACCTAAGCTCTCGACCGGCAAGTCGTGCAGACTCGAGCTCTCTTTCTGCTTGATTCAGTTCTTTCCTAAGCGCGCCTGCGTTCTCTTGCTCTCTCGCTATCCAGTCTAAAGCCATTTGAGATCTCATGTCGTCATCTAAGGCTCTATTCGAATAATGCGCTACCACTTCCTGCCTACTGCACTGACGCTCTCGCATGGCCTTAAGGCTACCGTTCCAATGGAGTAACTGGAATACTGTCATTAGTTCCTGGAATTCCAGCATCGTCCGACCTTTGTTTGATTCTAACATGAATCTAAAGGCTCCGATACCTGTATTTGGGTTGTCAGCTTCTTCATTATCACCTTAAAATACAAAAGAACATATTATAAGTATAATTTAACTATATTTATTCAAATAATCGTCTTTATTTGCAAATTTATAAACGCATTAGTTCTGGGAGCGCGAACATTGGGCCAAAACAGAGATATAGTCTGTTTACACAATAATATCAAATTAAAAAATAAAGCAAAATACAACATCCTGTCAATACAAAATTGGTATGTATAGTGATGACTGATAATCAATCAGTGTCCCTTTGATTTATTGCTGTATTTTACCTGAAGAAAGAACCTTTATATTTAAATGTTGCACTAACTACTGTTTCACACTCCATATAATATAATATTTTATGCTGTCGAAAGTAGGTATAGTATACAAAATTGAATACAATATGGTAAATAATTGCAAATAAAAGCAGAAACATTAGTTTTTCTTATGTGCATGGGTGACATTTTACCTTGAAATGACGATCTTGCTTCCGCGACAGCTTTTTCTATAAAATCATCTGCTATCCTTCGAGAGGGGTGTTCGTTGAATACAGAATTCATTAAAGCTATTTTGGCAGCACTTCTTCGTGCTTCGGCTTTCGTAGGGCAATTCTGAAAGAAATAAATCGTTAAGCGTAACTGATTATCTTGATGGTGCTAGAGATTTTTCAGCCCCTGACATTAACAATTTTTGGTGGAAGAAATTCGCAAGTATCCACCGGCATCTTGCTAGAATATTTAGCTCTTGAGACAACAATGCAAACGAACCAATTCCTGAATGGTTATAAACGAAGAGAGAACAATATTTATACCGAAAAAAGGCAACCTAGCTGAGCTATTTTTTATTCTAGGGTGTTGAGCTCAGTGGAACCGGCATCACACAAGATTCAATCCAGTATATCTAGTACAAGTAAAATCTGTATTGGTTACAAAAAGCATTCAACACAACATCACATAAACTATTATTACAACTATTACGAATTCTTTCTGTACCCATGCTTTTCGTAAGAAGCATTGAACAAGTTATGTTGCTCCGGAAATAAAAAAAATTCGGTGCTATCCGGTAGCCGTTGCATTATTAACTTAATGATGTGAAATTAAAGTGGAAATTTTGATAATTAAAGTGTAAATTTAATCTCATTCCTTTGTCATCCAGGGCATGTAAAAGATTTATCCATATTCCGTACAGTACATATTAGAATATTAAATTTCATCAAGCTATAGAGTATGGAGTGTAATATAAGCTAGTTTATTCTGAACACCATAAGAATTTTTAATACCCAAGGGTTGTGTTTATTTAGAAAGAATTGGTAAACTGGTTACAAAAATAAAAATAATCTCACCTGAAAACTACCGAAGCAGGATCCTCCGGGCAATGTTACGTAACAGACGTAAGGTTGAGCATTCGATGGGACAGATTCATATATTACAAGAGCGCCATTACGTAACTCTGCTCCTCTAGCTTGTTTCATTTGCCAAAATTCTTGTAAAGCTTCTACCACATTAACTGAAACAAAATTTGTCACAGATAAATGCAATGGACTCTGACACCAATACTTTTTAGACACTTATGAAACAGGTAAATAATGTATTATGAATAGGGATGCCACCTGTACGGGTTTTGAACAATTTGTCCGGTGTCCGGTCGTATGATGAAAATGTCCGGGAACATCTGGATACTTTAGAAAAAACTTGTTTTTTCAGAAGGATTTGGTTTATTAACAATAAAGAGGACAGAAGGACCTGGTTTATAAAATATTATTTTAGAAATTTCACAAACAAAAGTCCGGGTCTTGAGAAATGAAAAGGTAGCAACCATAGTTATGAAGGATGATCAAATTTTTCTTTATGAATATATTAAGAGCATATATTGGCAGTATACTAATTTTTTCCATAGTATTATATGTTTTTTTTTTCACTTTTCATCATTGTATAATATTGCAGTTGCTTTTGCGAAATATTTGAGAACTTTTTTCATGATTATCTTTAAATTGTATTGCTGTTATAAGCAACATGATGGTGGTTGCGGTTTTCTGCGTTTTCCTCAGCTGCCTGTTAGTCAAATGGCACCATCAATCATCTGTAAGTCGCCCCGGGGTGCCACGGCAAAGAATAATTCCGCCCCTCCCTCTCACAAGCTCAGTCGGCATCTGGTGTTACTTGCAAGGAGGTGACACATATTCAAGGGCGGCTCCAGAGGGCGGGGCTATGGGGGCCATGACCCCCCAGATGAAAATTCTTACGATTTATGAGCCTTTTATTCAAAAAAGTATGTTAAAATGGGAATGGCTAAAGGCAATGCCCCCCTCGAAAATTCGTCTTGCATAGAATATTATTATTATTATTATTATAACATTGTACTTAATACTTAAAAAGTTTTTGCCGAAATACGTACTTACAGAGTACCATGTCGGTATTATAGGCATTTAGGTAAGCATTGAGTAAATAAAAAGTAAAATCAAACAAAATAGGAGTTACTTTGATTAAATTTACCAACATCAGCCGATTTTGAGCGCTCGTCATTCCGCTAATTATCAAGCTATCGACTCGAACAATAGACTATTGTAAAGTGTATTTATTAAGGTATAGTGCGGTTTTTAAAAAAAATCAATAACACCATCTGTTTGGTCCATAGCGCTCGTGAAATGAAATCAGTGCAAAACATGGGGGGGTTTGGCCTTTAACGACAAGACATGCCCCTCTGAACGCTCTAGAGGATAAAATATAAATACTAGAGTTTTTTTGTGACAAATATCCTCTAGATGAAAACTGGACAAACATTTTTCATTTTAGAATAGCGGTTTCGTATTTAAAAAAAAAACACCTTTAAAAAATGCTAGCCAGATAGCCAGGAAGCAATTAAAATGAAATTAAATTGGACAAACATACCAATTTGTAGCTTTATTCTATTTTTTCACAAATAACCCCTGTCCAGTGCGCTTTATTGCTCGGACTATGTGTGGGATACGATGTCAAAAACCTTTTAAAAATAGAACTAATATTCTATTACCGTTTTTTCGTAGAATACAGAGGTGTTAAGTATTTGTTAGTTCAGTAGTACATTAACTCTTGTATAAAATGATGTACCTGGTGAGGCCAGACCTGTTCTTTCAGCGGGGTACTGAGTAATCGGTAGCGGGGTATGTGTAATGCACTGGTTTGGCAACGGCATTTTACGTGACATAGCCAGACAGCAAAAAAGTAACAAACGCGGCATAAATTTAATATGAACTTTAACTTGTACTATTGAGTATATAAAAACTGGATTTTCACAGACGTTACACGGAGTCGCTGCTCCCTGTTATGGAATTAGCCCACTCTTTATCATACGCAAATAGGTATCACATAGGGTCAATTCACTGGTTATCCGGCCAGCACTGGATCTCGGCCTTTTTATCGTTTAAGGCCAAATAATAAGAAAATAAAGTGTCATGGGCTTATTGTCAGTACTAAACAAGTTCCCGGCATCTTTTATCTATCCAAAGTGGTAGGGGTTGGTTTGGTATTGTAAGGGATAAGCGCGGGAAAAAGGCTTCTTTCTTGTCCTGACAATCAGCAGAAAACACATGCGTTTTAAATGTAAAAGTGCCTAATAGTGTGAATCAACGAAATAGTAAATATTTGATTATTTTTTTATTCCAGTTGCATGCAATATGTTTCAAATAGTAGATGAGGGGTTAAACTATGTAAATTTTTGTTACAATTGAGCAAAAACTGGTTTTATAATTAAAATTTCTAGTGGCCGCGAACCAGTATTAAAAAAATATGTTTTTTTAGATCTCGGCCAAAAGGGCCGAGAATTAATTTAAAAAGTAAAGTTTTGATCTTAAATAAAATTATGAAAAACGAGTTTAAATGTGCTTTTGTTTTTATTTTTCTGTTTATTTACATGATTACTTTTTAAGTATTGGTTTGCGGCCGGTAAATTAAGTATGAAATGTAGTTTATTTGATTAATAAATATTTTGATAAATGTATAGTGGCCAAGAACTAGCGCTTGTCGGCCAACCCAAAAAATGTGGGGCCGAAAACTAATATGTACAGTGATTTTGGTTCTCGGCCCTTTAAAAACCAAGTGGCCAAGAACTAGCATCTCTCGGCCACTAAGAAAATACTGGAGGCCGAAAACTAATATTTACAGGGGTTTTGATTCTCGGCCCTGAAAAAACCTAGTGGCCGAGAACTAGCGTTTCTCGGCCACTACGAAAAATATGAGGGCCGAAAACTAATATTTACAGCGGTTTTAGTTCTCGGCCTTTAACATGAGTGAGGTTTCTTTGGCGTATTGAAGAGTGAATTATCATAAAATGAGGAAGATTAGAAAAATGCCTTTGCAGGACAGGCTGCTTGCAGTAAGAATATCGGATGTGTTGAGAAAAACAGGCCCAACACCACTATTTAGCGGTTAAAGGGGAGACAGATGCTTTTGGATACAGTTTTTAAGATAAATGAAGATTCTAATCTCAATTTATTTAAAGGCGGAATACCAAAACATAGTAGATGAATTTCATAGCCGATGGAATAAATAAAGCTTAAACAGCAGTTACATAACAATCTGTGAGAAAATGGTTTCAGAACCTAGAACAATATTTAAATGAGAATATTTTGTGTTTTGTAATCCTAATATCCTAGAAGAGTGTTCAATGAAGAGTAATCAGGTTTCGGACTCCGTCAATCTAGTGGCAAAGTGTTTGGTCTAAAAGTTTTTCGAAATCATAAAAAAACATTTTTATAATTCTTGTTTAATGCTAAAGGAAAATTTGCTCCTCCACTATATTAGGTCTGTCATTGATAATGTGCCAGGTGCGTTGGATTTTGGGAAAGTCGGAGAAAGTATGGTTGACATGATTTTTTTTTAATTAGGTATAATGGCTTTAACAACTGGTTTTTGTGTGGCCGAGAACTAATATAAAATTGGCCGAGAACTGTGAGGGGTGGCTGAGAACCAACAAATACGCACTTTTTTTAGTTTTTAATGTTTCAATACTATAAAGTTAAAAACACAACAAAAATTCATTTCTAGACCACTAGAAAACACTCCAACGGACATTTTTTTATAAAAGCAAATTACAATTTAAAGACTTCCTCTATATCTATTTGAAGATAAAGTCAATTTTTACGCTAAAAGGCCGAAAACCAGTGCACTGACCCTACCTACCTTTTTTTAAATATAAAAACATATTATCTATAGTTTTTTTATCATTTCACACGCTTTATGTAAATGTGTGGATTTTAAGAGTGCTTCCCGAAGATTTTTGTAAATGTTCAAACATGCAATATAAATCATGTTTCTTTAGCAGTGCCGTAACAAGGATGTGGCAAAAGAGGTTTGAGGCGACTTGAGCATTCCAAAAGTTCAAATACGAACCATGGAAGTTTTAAAAATTCTAGCAAGGGTATTTGCCATTTTTACTTTCCTGTTTGTATACAGAAGGAAAGTATAGGGATAATGATTTTTTCGTCATCGAGTTTTCGACGGATTTTTACGTTTTGGGGTCCCCTGAATCCGTTTTGACTATTTTCGCGGTAATGTCTGTGTGAGAAAAACACCAAAATTTAACTTTAAGCTTTAATTTATCTTGCGGTGTGCTGATATTAGACATTGGGCATAGTCAGGACATCTGAGGGATACTTTATAGGGCGTCATTTTTCTACTTTATAGAATATATGTTATTTAAAGAAATTTTCTAATTTTACAATGAAAATGTAATGTTTTAATTTAAACTATATAAATAGAAATAAAAACGTATTTCAACGCTTAAGATTTAAGTTAAAAGCTTAATCTTTAAATTTATTATTTCCTTAATTAATACACCCTATTATAAAGTCGCTTGCGATGTCATTCTCTATAATTTTTGTCCTATTCATCGGTTATAGTTTTAAAAATGAAATTTATATGTTGAAAATAACCAGTTAAAATTTAAATTCCTGTTATCTAAACTGAGTTTATAACATTCTTTGTATAACTCGCTATAAGAATGTTAAATTTTTTTCTTAAAGGGCTGTAGGATAACCTGATCAATAAAGTAGATTTCATAGGTTCCTCTATTAATTACGTGAGGTGTTCAAGGGGGACAGGGGATCAAACTAAATCTTTCCAAATCTCACTTGTAAATCTCTTTGTAAATCTGATGTAATTTTTTTTCTAGTAGAAAACGGTGTAAAATTGTGGGAAAGTAAAGTTAAATTAAAGTAAAGAATGTTTCTAGAATAAAATATGGCAAAATCTTATATTATGTACGAGTCCCCATGGACTGAATTAGAATAAATCTTCTATTAAAATTCGTTTAAGTAATTATTATTTATTTTTATCACTGTAATTTTAAACTACGGCAATATTTTCAAATACTAGTCTTTGCTAGTCTTAAATAAAAGTAATAGAACATATTGTGTTTTGTTTTTTTTTTAATAATCCAACACATTTACACCCAAAGCACAAATTTTTAAAAATCTCACGTGAGATTAGGGCAGGGGGGAGGGAATTGAGAAAAATCTTACGAAATCTCACTAGGGGGGAGGGGGTCAAAAAATCCTCAAAAATGCCTCACGTAATTAATGGACTCCCCCTTAAGAAAAACACTATTTTCCTTAGAACTATGAAATAGGTGTAATAATTTTAAAATATTCCTGAAAACCTTCATCGGATTTGTTATTAAAACAGATTTAAAGCAGCAGTAAGGCTTGTGTGACTCATGTTCTACGAATTCTTTCAAGTTGTACCGAGTTAGGTAAAAATACGATACTACATGTATATAGTAATTATTGAGGAATACAAGCGAAGAAAAATAACTATACATCTTGTAAAAAAACTGTTTTGCTTCAATTTAATCTCGTGGGAGCAAACCACTAGTTAACACAATAGATCATAAATAAAGTTATCAATGGGAAAAAAGATGTTTTCGTGTATATAGGATAGAAAAGTTTTTTTTCATTCTTTCGTAAATATTACATGTACAGGAAAAGATTTTTTTATAATAAACCTTAATAATCAATAATAATAGATTGGAGATGTTTTTGTTTTTGTGAATTTGATAAAATAATTCGAAATAACTTATCTCCCTGTATGATCCTTTGTGAGTTTTTGTATTTTTTGAAAATACAGGGTGTCCCAAACCTCTGACAAAGTTCGATAACTCCATGTTAGTGTCCATAGCTTACCATAATTACACGAATATGTAAATTGAATACATTATAGAAAATCTGAAAGTATTTTAAATAAAAATTTACAGCGACTGTCTGGACCCAAAAAATATATTTCACGGATTAAGTTCAATTTGCCCGTATAATAGCATTTACAACTCGGGCTTCTGTATATTCATTTCACAATGAAACACCTCGTATAAATTCAGTGAGAAAGTTGGTTGTTACTATTTTACGTTAGTATTACCAAAATAATAAATATCTGTTTGCTTGAGAGCAACTGGTAAACAATATGAATCCTTCTTATCATCGTACTCGTGAGGAATTTCAATTTTTATACTAGGGGAGACCGGGGCAAAACGATCCCTATTTACTACTTCGAGCCACCTATACAAAAAGTGAGATTATTAAAACACAAAATCATAATAATTTATTAAACTAGGCAACCAGTTTCGGCTGGCTACAAAACCTATAAAAAATAATTTTCATAATGAATTGTCTTCAATTCCAATTAACAAACCTTAAGCCGGGTCCAGATCAATAAATATTTACGTTGTGCGTTGTATTTGACGCAAATTTGCTTGTGTTCGTCAAAATATTTCTAGATGTGGACTGTGCGTCGCACAAAGAAACTCGCAAATATTTGCGACAGATGCAACACACGCTATCCACCGGTCTGTCGATTTTTCTGCCAACTTCAAAGAAATTTGCGTCGAACGACCCTCGAGTGCTTGTTTTAAAGTGGACTTGAATATTTTTTTAGTTTGTACTATTATTTCAATCACAAATTATTGCTACACAAAACGCACGAAAATGGATTGCAATAGATACAACACAACGCACATATTTGCGCGACAAAATCACAATGAAAAAAATATTTGCGCCGCAAATATTTTTGTCAAATTCAATACACAACATTCAACACACAAATTTATTGATCTGGACCCGGCATTAGATCCTAAATATAATGAAAATACTTTCATAAATAAGGATTTATTGAACATAATTTGACTGACAGTAATAATAAGTATGTGACAACTCTATAACAATAAATAAATGAAACATTATATAAAACTAATATAAAAATAAGAAAATACTTTTTCCCTACATATTCTTCTCAGTATTATTTTGAAACATAGTGATCTAAATATTTCATATTGTCTCCATGAGTAACAGTAACTATGTTGATGAAAAATTGTTCTTTCATTTAAATTGCATAGAGAAAATCATTTTGCTCGGGATAGTGGAGCAAAATGATTATTTTGCGTAAAGTAATTGAACATATCACTTATGTTCAATGTATGTTATTTACAAACATTTGAGATATTAGGAAACGATAGTAAAAAGAACGTAAAATAATCCTTAGAGGAATTTCTTTGCCCCGGTTTCCCGTACTACTTACAGTGAACGTATATACAAATATGTACGAGTACATACTTAGGTAGGTATCGTCATTTAGACTCTTTCGAGAATTCTTACATTTTCTTATTGTCATAGATATAGTATATGTAAAAGGACTTTTAGAACAAGTGATTAAAATATTCTCGAGATATAACGTTAAAATTGCTCATAAATCAGACAATACAACAAATTTTAAACCCAAAATCAAGAAAGTAAATCAACTAAATGTAGTTTACAAAATTGATTAACTCCACTTACATAGAACGAATAAAACAATATTTACACAAAAGAATTAAAAAACAAAAATATTATTTCAACAAATAATGAAAATTCTACTATTACAATAAAACATGAATTAGAAAATTTGCACTCTTTCGATTTTGAAAGTTTAAGAATTCTTAAAAAAAGAGCCTAATTATAACAAATTTATTTATTTCTAAGAAAATTTACTAAGAGCAGGAAATTATCCTCTATTTCTTAATTAGTGATATAATATACAGGGTGATTTAAAAGTTGATACTAGTAGATACCCTAAAAATTCTGGTGCTTATCTGGATTCACCGCACTAGTGTTTATTAGTGTGAACTCTACAGCACCGGAATAAATAATTTAAAGGTCAACAAATGCAAAATGTATTCTTTCAGATATATTTTTTAAATATGTAGGATAGTCAAAAACCTTTATAATATTTGTTACTCCGGTTTGTGTCATAGTGATAACTCATCTGCAAGGTACATTCCATCAATTATACAAAAAGGGTGGCCCGACGAAAACGTACCAAAGCCATCAGAAACTCCGTCGTCAACATTTCACACAAACGCTTGGATCTGTTAATTTTTGATTAAAGGGGAACATATTCTCAACTGTCATACGACATTCCCCTCCCCTCTCCTCCGTCACTTTAACTAATAAAATTTAAACAAGCAAATGACAACACATAGTTCCATTGTTGAAAAGGTAATTTTATGGAGAATTCAAAAATAGCGGGATAAAAAACTGTGACACTTCATTTGAAAGCCAATTTTATTAATAATTTAAAGCAAAACATAATGAATGAAACATGAATTTACACAATATTGAAATACAAACTTTAATCGCAACCAACCAAAATAACAAAACGAATTAAATTTTTAATAAAATTACTTTTCAAATAAAGTGTAACTCTTTACAATACGTCACAGTTTTTTATCATGTTTAGACGGCTATGAAAACAAAATTTGATTTTTGAGCGGTTTCAAATGACGTCATCGTAATTGGCGGTTACTATTTTAAAAAAATGCGAATGACGTCAGGTCCTAAAGAATGATGACGTCATTAATTGGGTAAAAATGCGCAATCAAAAATAAAACTGACCTGACCGAGAAATTTCTTGTATATCATGTAGAAATAGCAATAAGAAATGTTTCTTTCAGTTCTGCAAATAATGATGACTATAGAATTTATTGAGCGATTTTATGAGTGAATACTGACAATTTTATTTTGTGATTGGTCTAAAAACTGATAAGTAATCCTTTGCTTACAGTTTTAAGTAATAAAATAAAAGATTATTCGAAAGAATAAATTAAAACCAAAGTAGATACCATAAAAATATGTTTAGTTTTAAATAATAATGAATATAGGTAAACATAATGAATGTATTATTAAACAGTGGTTTAATAAATGTTTGTTGATAAAATGACAATGATTTGTGATTTGGAAATAATATATAATAAAAAGGGAAATTGTTTGAATTTACCTCGATAGCTGACGTCGTCATAGAGCTGGAGCATGGGAGCCGTTGCCGAACAAGTCCATTGGGGGTCCGGATAGACCATCATGTCAGCCCTATTGGCATCGGCTGCGGCTGCATTAACCGTGGTGACCCCGTCAGCATCGCTAGAAGGTTCAAGAATGCGCCGCGAAATAAGATCGCGGCTCGCACATGCACTTCGCATTAATAAGTACTAGTGCCACTGGAGCTAGTGGGCGCACTCACTTTTTTTGCATCCCGGTCCTGTGTGTCTCTTTCCGAGCACCTGGTATCCTGGCCGTTGCCAACAATTTACATCGAACCGGAGAGTAGAGATTAAAGACCGAAAACAAAAGCACTGATGAGGCAAATGCAAAAGGCAGTCGATCTTCCCAAAATCGAGAGCCGACCAGAAACCAGAAGTGTCAGTGCCCTGCGACCATCAGCTGGTAATCGCGACCACCTTACTGCACAAATGCACACTACTGAGTAACGAGTCCACCGTTTTCTTCGTCTTCGTCTGCCACTCGACGCGGTTGCGGCGAATGTTCTTTTAGTTGTGTCATGTGTTGTGGCTGCGACTAGGCCTGTGCCAATGCCAATAATCATAACGTCGCTGCAACGTCCATCAACATAGCGCTACCATTTCAGAATATGCGACTTTTAAATGTTAAGGTACATTGTCGCCTATTTGTTGCAAATTTGTCCTGCAAAGAAAACATTTGTCACGTTTCGTTTTTAAAAATGACCTCTGGTCAGAGCATTCTAAAGCACTTCTGGGAACTACTGCAATTATATTAACTACTCACCCCTTAACAAGTAGGAAAACTGCACAAATCAAATAAGCTTGTACTAGAAAGGGATGGCTATTATTTTCCTTTACGGATATACCACATTAAATTTGAGATCTGAATGACCTTCTTACTCACATATTATATTGTTTTATCTTTTGTTAGACTATATTTGAGAGAATGGATATATATCCATTTGTTTTTACTATGTGTTTAACCATTATAAAATGAAACGTACTAAAGGGCTTTGTTCCAGTGAGAGCATCAAGGTCCTTGGTCATTTTTTTTGCATTTGGGTATTGATAGGGTTAGTTTTATCCAAAGGAACTGGACTCTCTATACTATGCTCCTTGCTTTCCCGTATTCAGGTACAACTTCTGAATACTACATTAAGTCTTTGATAATTTTTATAAGATTGCTTAGCAGCATTCATGGGGTGCTCTTTCCGCTCTAGATCGGAAATGTTACTTCGCCGTCTACGGCTTCGCATTCAAAAGTTTTAAAGAACAAACCTTTAGTGTGGGTTGTTAGTTCATTTAAATGAATGGTCGGTTATAATAACGTAACCATACGTATCAAGCTAGCAGAGCCTCTTGGATTTTTCACATAATTTTAGGCTCATTTTATACTAACATAAAACATTTTCCGCTCATTTTTTCTGTAAAGAAAGGAGCGGAATTGTTTTTATGTTGGTATAAAATTAGCCTAAAATTATGGCATACTCACAATGTGAAAAATCCAAAGGTGCTCTGCTAGTTTGATACGTATGTTGTACCAATCGATTCATACTTTCTGGAAAATTGAAAAAACATTCAAGTAGCTGGTTCATAACAAGTATAAAACCCTAAATGGAATATTTAATATAGTTAGAATAGAACATTAAATATTATTCAATGGAAAGCCAAAATTTCGTAAAATTATCAGTTACAAAGGTGTTATGGCAGACCCTTTAATTGTATGATGGCAGTTTTAGGCCTGCTTTGAGTTGATATATGTTTGAAGCAAGGGTCTAAATTAAAGTCCTTGATAGTTGAAGCACTTTTGAAAATAACCACTAACCAAGTGTGATGAAAGAGTAATGTAAGTAGTCAATTCCATTATTACCTTTTCATTTTCGTGGAATGGCGCCTACCATAGTAAAAATCTAAGTACTATGTAGGCACCTATAAATCATGTCCTTAGCAAAAGTAAAGGTAGCAGCGAAAGAATAGGTACCTTGTAGATAAAGTTCTTAATGCTAATAGGAAAGTTTGATCATCCGTTAAGGGACTGACGAGTATTTTAGTGGTGGGGGATCTCTGTATCTATAACGTGTGGAGGGTGGGTTATCCCCCACGGCACTTAGGCCTCATTAGCCCTATTGTGCATCCTCCTAAGATGATAAGCACCTCCTAGCTCGTCAGCCAGCCTACAGATTTAATGTAGTTGACAACGTCGCCAAGAGGTGCTTCTCTTATATCGACCGGTGTTAGCCGATACTCGCCGATAGTGGTGGGGGATAATGAGGGTATTACTGACACAAAATAAAATAAAACATTTGTTTTTATTTCATCTTTTACGATACACGTTCAAATTCTTTTACCAATAGAACATAATAATTTTTAATTCAATGATCTTTTTCAAAAATAGTTTTATATAAACATACCTGCCTCCATATGAATATTATTTAAACGAATCCGCAATGCAATATTTTGCAATGCATCCATGACAACAAAAAACTAGTATTAAGAAGTACAAGTAATGGTAATCAATTTTAAAAGAAATTCACATCTGTATATTCATTCTTAACACTTCTCTAAATAATGCTGAAAGTCAAATTTATTTGTTATTAGTTTTTGAACGTTTGAGTAATCAAACTATATCGGCTGACATGGCTTCGTTTACATATGCAGCATCTTTCTTAGTTTGCATCATGGTGATATCCAACTTCTTACTGCAACATTTTTCCTGCAAGTTTCGCCTTACTAAAGAAATTAAGACCATTAAAAAATGGATTACTATGAGAAAAGCAATTACACCAAGGCATACGCCCACCGTTAGGCCAGGTCTGTCCCAATCTACTATTTTGTAAATGCACAATGTTCCTTCCCTAAAAATAAAGACGGTATAGTATAGTTTGGTAATATGCTGTTCCATATAAATAAATATTTACTATACTTTGATACCTATAATGAAAAAATAGGTACCAATTTCGATATTAAAACGTTTTAATGTTAAATTTCTTACTTGCCCCTCCCTCCTGCTGAATAGTAAATAAAGGTAAAAACGCTATAAATAATTCCAAAAATTATGCTATAAACTACGTGAAATGGCATAACAGGATGCGCCACTATCCACAAATCTATAAAAACAAGTATTGAGTTGTTTCCATGTACGAAATAGTTCAATGCATCAAATACCATTGTTTTAGCTAAAATAAAAAATATGTAGTTAGTTCATAATAAACAGAAATTTTTAAAATCGAAATTCAAAAATTGCTATACTTGATTTTATTTAATGAATAATCATCGATACTAAATGGAGACGATAAGTTTTGATACAAAAACAAAAAAATCTGATTCGGAATAACCTATTTTTTTCCGAGTTCTAAGTCAGAAAAATCGATCTTTTTCGAGTTCTAAGTCGGAATTAACCTATTTTTCCTACTTATAAATAAGAAAAATCAATTTTTCCGAGTTCTAAGTCGAAATAACCTATTTTTCCGAGTTCTAAGTCGGAATACTCTAATTTTCCAAGTTAAAATTGGGACCTATCGATTTTTCTGAATTATCTTAAGTCGGTATAACCTATTTTTCCGAGCTCTAAGTCAGAAAAAATCGATTTTTCCGAGTTCTAAGTCAGAAAATACGATTTTTCCAAGTTCTAATCGGAATAACCTATTTTTTTTAAGTTCTAAGTAAGAAAATACGATTTTTCCGAGTTTTAAGTCGGAATAAACTATTTTTCCGAGTTCAAGTCGGAATACTCTAATTTTCCAAGTTAAAATAGGGACCAATCAATATTTCTGAATTATTTTAAGTCAGAAAATACGATTTTTCCGAGTTCTACGTCGGAATAATCTATTTTTTAGAGTTCCAAGTTGAAAAAATAAAAATAAATATTTTGTGGATTTGGTATTAGACCTATGACATTGTACCAATGATATTTGAACAAAATATTAAAATCTAAGTGAAACATTACCGTTATAAATGGTAGTCCAGTAAACAGTAGTAATGGCAAATGCTGTAGCTGTTGCTACAATATTCAATAACCAATAAAGTGGGTACAACCATAAAATATGTTCCTTCATTTGTGGCATATCCAATGTGGATCCTATGAAAGTAGTAAATAACATAATAAACGCTAAAGTTGCTTGTAATGTACATGCAGTATAACCCCAATTTGTTAAAAATATAGGCCATAAACCATTATTTTCTGCTTCTTTAATTATTGTCATAATCCATGTTACAAAAAATATTAACATTATGGCAGTACGGTACATCAGATATTTAAAATTGGGTTCAGTCTTATTTTTCTGCCACTGAAAGAGAAAACAATGTTTTAAATAAATTCAAAATAAACTAAGTGTCTTAAAGATGTACCTATATACAGTCTGCCTTTTTAAAAACTTTAAATAGCCCACATTAAAGTTGACTAGGTACTGCATTAGGTATCTACCAAGTCGGTATTTTTTTTTGAAAAATCGCTCAAAAATGTTTTTTAAATGCGTATTTGACAGAAAACTATATATGGGCTATTTTAAGTTTTTAAATAAGCAGACGTCACCGACGTATATAAGAGGGGGTTTCCCCCTTGGCCTAAACAAGAAACCGAATAATAGCCGAATACCCACCTTTTTAAATCCCGCGAATCCCGCCTATGCAAATTACAATAGAAAAAATAACTTTTTTAGGAGCGTTAAAACTGTCAATAAATGTTCCTTAAAAAGTTATACGTCCCTGGCAGACTTGATTATCCTACAACATTTTTTTAGTTGGGCTATATCCTAATTTTTTAAACATACTGTGAACCGTTACTGTGATTTGCAAAATTAAAATAAATGTTTTCCCAAAACGTTGGTTACAGCTCACGGGTTCACCCCACACTCCCATTGTTTATTAGCACAGGACCGAAATAATAATTGTAAATAAAAAGACCACAACAAATGAGAATCGGATTTAACATTTTTTGAACTTACTTAAAAGAAGAGAATCTACTTTTAAAAACAAAATGTATACAATAAAAAACTGTAACCCTTTAAATGACAAAAAAAAAATGTAATAATTACCTGACTGGCAATGAATACACCAGGATCATTGTGAATGAGATAAAATTTGCTTAGCTGGAACTGTTTCTTCCAAAACCTTAACATATTTCAGTTTTGAACTTAAACAATCTAAAAAAAAAAAAAAATTGTGTATCAAATCAGTTTTACGGGTATCCTGACATTTACAACTGATTGTACGTATAATTCTCCAAACATGACCTACCATAACTCAATATTTTATGGTTTATTGTTGCTAAAATTATTAAGCTATGCTACAGAAACCACCCGTACATTCGTGCTTACGTGTGACATAAAAGGCGATATTAAAAGACTTTCTGAGAACGCCATAAAATTATTCGATCAATTCACTGGGAAGTTATAAAACTCGTTCACATTGCGAGACTGGTAGAAAGTGGAAGCTGGAATTACCTGAATGTTTTACAGGGTCCGATGAAAAATAAGGAGGTGGAAAGAATTTCTACTTATATTATTTTCAAATCATCGATCGTTCTAAAGTATTTAGCATTACTGGTATTTCGTGGGATTACCTTAATTACCTCAAGGTGATAGTCTCAAACGGGAAGTACTTTTATCACCTAATTATCCATTGTACGAGGTTCAGTCAAATGGATATTCCGAAAACAATAAGTAGATATTACTATGTCATTTTTCGACACGATTTTCCCATAATTTTCCCCATTACGTGCTATTCATGCTCTCCACTGTTTTGGAACCGCCTGAATACACAAAGAATAAACTCTTGGTCGCGTGCACAGCCAGTCATGCACCGCCTTTATCACTTTATCATTGCTCTGGAATTTCTTCCCACCTAATGCCTCTTTAAGTGGACTAAAGACATGGTAATCGCTTGGGGCGAGGTCAGGTAAATAAGGAGGATGTGGTAGAAACTCAAATTCAATTCTGAGATGGTTCTGCCACTGTCGAACGTGCAGTATGTGGCCGCGCGGAATCGTGCTGTAAAAGAATGCCAGTTTGGTTCTGATGGCAGACTTGAGACGATAAATAACCCCTGAAGAAAATTGCCATAGATATATACTCGTATAACCAAAACAGAAATGTTCAAATTCTAAATGAATCGGGAAACATCATAAGTCAGAAAAGTAAAAGTTTGCGAAAATAAAAAAACTTTCTTAAATCGTATGTGGGTGAGATAGAACATTGAAATTTTTTCTAAAATTGCAAGATTGATTTACTATTTGATAGTATTAAAACAACTTGTTTTTTTCTAAAAAGTCCAAAATATTTTTTTGAAAATAATGACATGGGATATACGGATATTATTTTAAATTATTTAGACAATAAAACTACATATTTTAATAAAATAATATGTTTGTTTACTTTACAATATTTTTATTTCGAAATATATCACAAGTCAGTCCATTTATAGAAGATTTTGTCACAAGAACTGCTTCATTTTCGAAAAAATGTTTAAAATGCAGATACTGTGATATCTTTCCATCTTGTGATACTGCTTGTTAAATTATATTCAACATTGCGCTAAGCTTTCATTCTCAATTCTTTATTATTCCTGCAGAAGATGCTGCAAGCCGCACTGCCTGTTACGCTTGGAGACGTCTCTGCGGCACTGCCTTAGCCGATAAGAACGGTCTCCCGTCTAAGAAGTCATTAATTTTTTGTCCTTTCATTGGTTAAAAACACAGGCGTTAGACACTTCCTAATTTCTCAACGTCTAACGTCACTCTCAATCTAGCTGAGCAGCTTCTCTCCCGGTAGAGCTTCAATATCTCTCAAACACAAAACATCGTTCTGCGGTGTAAAAGATGGCTTAAGTAACAAATTTCCGAAGAAAAGTCTGTATATAGTGTAAAAAGTATGTAGTTTATAAGTGAACCATGTAATAAAATTAAAATCGTGTCAGGGGTGTTTTAAAATAACGTGTGTAATTAAAAAGTTATGTTTTTATCCAAGCACTAATCCTTTCATCCCTACGGATTGCACTGGCATTTCCAACATTATTTAATACAGTTCACAATTTATCAAGAACCGTACGTCGGTCTTTCGGTCAATTTGCAACAGCTCGTGTGCCGCGTGTATTAGAGAAACACCATTAGTCAGCGACTTATGGGGTTTCTCAAGTAAAGCATATTTTGTCGTTTGAAAATTTAATACAAGGAGTGCTAGGACTAATGAAATTTCTCGTTGGAATGTGCACCGAAGTGTTAGCAATAAGAATCCGCCATTTTTGGATTATGTCAAATTTGTGACTTATGGGCTTTCTCAAATGACCGATTCAAATGTCCTTTACAGAAATGCAATATTCTGATTGAAAATTGATTGCCAATTTGAAGTTTGACAACAGCGCAATAACAAAGTAACGAAATTTGTAAGAGAAGTCACTCTGGTCGTAGAATGATAAGCTCCAAAAATTCGAAAAACACCTAGATATAGAAAACTTATGAAAAAAGGTACGTATATATTAGTCTAGAGAGTAGTTGTTTAGTGTTATATGTAGCCGCAAAATGTATACTCATGGCACTGTGCTTAGAGTTCTCAGCTGACAGTAATGCTCATGTGTATTTTATTTTGAGCAGAATTATTTATTTTTCATACTCAGAGACTATTTATTTGAAGTGCACAGCGATAATTCTTTGCCACGTTGTCTGTTTTCTATGGGATACCTCAGCAGGGCCGCCAAGAGCCAGGTCGGACCCCAGGACAATTCTCCAGATCGGGAACCGCGAGAATTTTACAAAAAAAAATTTTAAATGAAAAGGTCTTTAAGCAAAAATTTCTCAATCTACTTAAATTTCTCTAAAAAAAAAAAAACAAAAGGTCTTCAAACAAAAACTTCTCCTCTACTTGAATTTCTCCAAAAAAAAGTCTTTAAACAAAAACTTCTCCTCTTTACTGAATCTCTCTCTAAAAAAAGGTCTCCAACCAAAAACTTCTCCTCTTTACTGAATCTCTCTAAAAAAAAAGGTCTTCAAGCTAAAACTTCCCCCGTCTTGTGCCGAACTTCTGAAAGTAACAAAAAAATCCTCGTGACAGTTGCCGGGCCCCAATTATACGGGTGTCGGGCCCCGGGAATTAGTCCCGGCTGCCCCCCCCCCCCTCTTTTCGGCCCTGCACCTCAGGAGTGGTCGCATATAAATTTGATTATGGGATCCAAGAGAAAATCATCAAATTAATCTTTTTTGGAGTCGGTTTTTTAAAATTGCTTTTATAACTTATTGTCAATACAAAAAGCTCTAGTGTACTGTTAAATTATTAATCCCTGGCTCAAATCTATCAACATAATTATCAATTTTACTTATTTTAAAACGGTACGGAATACTATTGCACAACTGCGACTTGTACTTGGCCAATTTTTTTCTTTAACTTCCATGTTTCAAATTAGCCTGTCGACCACCAATATATTTATCATGAAACGTTGAATGATAGCATGGTTGCTTCTGAAACCACTTTAAAACAATCACGGTGTCGTGAAATACTCTACTTAGCTGCATATTTATTTTGGTAATGGTTAATGGTTTTAATAGGAACCTTGAACTTAATAAAAATGCTAGTGAACTCTTATTATTAATTACTTCGAATTTTACTTGTCAAAAAATTAGTTTACATTTTGTCTTATTATACTCACCACACAGTAGTAGGTGATGATACGTTTATTTTAGAGAAACCAAAATGTTTGATGATCCAAATTTAAAAATTTGTATACCAAAATCGTTTCCATCAAATTTTTAAAAAAGTTCGTCCGTCTGGAGAGTAGAAATATAAAAAAAACTCAGATATAAAAAACGAAAAGCGATATCAACGTGAACTTGTTGCTAAAAATCAAGCTCTATAAGACGATGAATCCTATTGATTCCGAAAACAAAATCTAAATAAAAGTGGAGGGCAAGGGGTTGAAATATTAAAAAAAAATCTTACTGACAAACAGAAAAGGATATCAACTTGAAATCTTCAGAAAAAATAAAACTCTATAAGGGGATGAAGCCTATTGATTTTGAAAAAAATGTGATTAAAAATGGGGGTTAAGGGGGTCTGTTAAACTGAAAAGAGTAGATATTATAGAATGCCAAGCATTATATATCTTTATTCTAACTATTGAAATAATGTATTTTTTTTAAATTTAAATTTAAACAGTATCTTTAACCCTTTACGTGTTTATTGAAAATAGTTAATTTACTTAAAGATTCCCCAATTTATATTTATGATTTTTGTATCTTCAATATTTAATAAATATTTTTTTAATAATCCAATTAAAATATGAATAGTAAAAATTAAATTAATTTATATACAAAAAAAATTAAAATAGGAATTAAAACAATGATTAAATGAAGTGTGTGTTTTTCAGCATAAAAAGAAATACAGAAATAAAAATCAGTGAAATAAATAAATATGAATATTATTGATTATCAAAAAGATGTTTTCTGTATTTATTTTTAAAGGCGTTAAAGAATACTGACAGAAGAAACTTGGTAAGAGAATGAACTTTTGAACAATTCTTTGTTATGGGAGTAATATGCCTTCTCAAATTCAAATTATGTACTTCAATTTAGGATTAAACGACTTACTTGTAAGGAAGTTCAATTATATTTATACATCTGACGATTTCATGACAAATGCGTGGATGCCAATGTGTTCTGAACAGATGGAATGAAGGAAAGTATAATTAAAATTCTCTTCAACATGAATTGGATCCTTTATAAAAATAATAATAATATCCCAAAATGCCACAATATAATAATTTTGATGTAGAATAAGATTTATTTCATATAACCTGTTTACAAAAGGAGAACCGTGGACTTTCCCAGATATTAGATACCTCATTGTTCAGTTAATTTTTTCCCACAAAAGTACAATTAAAAATCATTTGACTGACTAATTTACCTATTATATTAAGCGAGCGTGGAAAGTTAATGCTAATTTTGAAGTGTTTAACTACAGTGGCAATTTAATGTTCCGACGACTATGTAGGTAGGTATATTAATTTATTTTAATCAAAGTAGTCATGTGAAAATGGTATATTTTTAATTTATCACTTTAATGGCGTCGATTTATTGCTTTGACAAAATGGATCGTGGTATAGCTACCTATTTGAAAGAAAATTCGTGAAATCG